CTGAAGTTAAAATTATGGATCCTAAATCCTTGCAAATAAAAGTAAATTAATTTCCAAGGTAATTGGAATTTCTTCCAAAAATTATTTATCGCAGCATCATCTTTTATAGTTTCAACAGAATTGATTTGATGACTTTCTAATGAAATATAGTTAATCAAGAGGAAGGTTTTAGTAGCTTATGAATTGCTATCTTCTTGATATATAACTTCTAGTCATCAGTTACACTTGCTGCACCATTCCAGTTTTTTTCATTCATATGATTTTATTCATCATAGATAATATATATTTTGCACCTGAGCAATTATATTGTGATTGCTGTTATGTATTGCTTTATTGTAGCTCATATTTTTGTCTAATCCATTGAATCCTACTTAATACCTGCCTTAGTTACTTTGAAAAATATTTCTTTTTTATTCTAGTGATCTTTAGTAGTACATTTAAATGTGCTCATGTGAGGAGTCTGCAACACATGCTACTGCAGCAACAGCATTAATAATCATTAAGACTTTTTTTTCAAAGAGTTTGCTGAATTGGATGTGTGTAAAATGCTGCGTTACTTAGAAATTTTACCCTAGGAATAACATAGCTGTATATCTGCATTTTTAGTGGAGTTTGTGACTGTACTGGGACACTTTCTTAAATCTTTGGGGTTTTATTTAAGCCAGAGAATGTTGGGAACACTGGTGTCATTACTGTGCTCTGTGAGAACATGGTCTTCAGTCTGTAGAATCAGAACAGCCGTAATGGAAATGAGGTTTTGGGGTTTTTTGTTGGTTTCCTTTTTTTTTTCCAAGAGGCTGGATCAACCTGCAAAAACGTTATTTCAGTCTTCTGCTAAAAATCCACGGAAGAGAATGTCACAGTTCACCCTCTGAAACAGCAAGTTTGCTGTTTCCACATATGGTTTGTACATAGCTGCCATATTATTCCACTAGATTTTTCATAATTTCCAGAGTAATTTCTATAGTTTTTCTATCATCATAGGGTGTGGAACTGGGCAATATTTAGCTAACCTCTGTCTATAATCCTGATATTTTCTAATTTCTCACTCTAGTGGAGCAGAATGAACTTCAACATCTTGAATCATTACTTCTACAGAATTCTAGAATGATAAAATCATTGAGATCAGAAGTGACCTCTGGAGATAATCTGGTCAAACCCCTTTGCTCATGCACACCCACCCAGAGCAAATCACACAAAGCTATTCCCAGATGGCTTCTGAATATCTCCAAGGGTGGAGACTCACAGCCTCCATGGGCCCCTGTAACAGTGAACCCTCACAGCAGAAATGTTGATTCCTGATGTTCAGAGAGGATTTCCTGTGTTTCATTTGGAGTCTGTTCCCTCTGGTCCTGTCACTGAGCACCACTGAAGACCTGGTTCCAATCCTAGCAAAGAATCTTCTTTGTACCTTCCCTCCAGGTATTATAGACAGTTTTTGACAGTTTCCTGAGAGCCTTCTCTTCTTTGGGCTGAACAGTCCCACTTCTCTCAACCTCTCCTCTTACAAGATCTTTCCAGCCCCTTCATCCCCTTCACAGCCTTTTGTTGGACTCCCTCCAGTCATTCCATCTCTCTCTCATACAGGGGAGCCCAGAATTGGACCCAGTTCTTCACATGTGAACTCACCAGTACTGAGGAGAAGGAATTAGAGTATAAAGTGCCAGTATCTTTTAAGTTTATCCTTGTCCTTCGTCTTTCTTGCCCTTCCTCCAGGTCTCTTTGATGACAGCTCTTTACTCTGTAACAAGACTCTGCAAACATTTTGTTGTACTTCTCAGCTTCATCTATTCCAGTGAAAAACCCAATTCTTTCAATCATTCTTCATTGGTTACGTTTTCTAAGCAGCTTATGAGTCATTTTGCCCCTCTTCAAATTAATTTTTAGTGGGTCTGTAAATATGCATATAAAATCCAAAATTAGACACAATATTCTTCCAGAGGCCTTACCAGTGCCAAGTTTATCAAAATAATTACCTCCATGTCTTCTGTTTTTGAGTTCTAAATACAAACTAGAATTAGTCTTTCTTATTTTGCAGCAACACTGCATTCTTGTTTTAATTCCACAGAATTCCCAAAGTCTTTTATTTGATATTTGAAAGTTATTTTCTCTTTTGGTTTCCACCTTTGATATGGGTTTGGGTTTCTTTTTTCCCAAGGAGTACTTTCTTCTTGGTTTTGGAATATATCATCATATTGATTTCTGAACATTATTTCCAACAATGTCCACTCCCTTCTTTATGTGTTACCTGCGAAATTTTTTGTCTTTCTCATTTGACCACAATTGTTAATGAAAATATTGACTGTGGACCCATCATATCTTTGTGATACATATCTGAAAATATTCTTTATTTGATAACTACCTTTTGAAAATGGATTCTTCTAATTCAATATGTATTTCCATTCCTGTTCACAGTGATTTTATCTACACTATTTTCTTTTTTACATTGAGACAATGTCAGATAGAAATGTGTAACAATTTTAACAAAGGTCAAAATATACTACATTTTTTTCTTTCCTTTATCCACTAAGCCGGTTGCCCTGTAAAAGGAGAAAATTACATTAGTTTGACATGATTTGGTTTTGATAAATCTGTAGTAGCTGTTTGTTATCATTTTAATTATCTCCAAGGTGCTTAGAAGTGGATAGCTCAATAATTTCTTTGGTATCTCTGTGGATATCAAAATTAATTCTCTAACTCTCTGAGCTCTGTTTTGCTCTTTTATATCTCTGGTTCTATATACACACATAAATGTGTATGTGTGGTTGTGTGTGCATATTTATATATATATATAAGCAACATGTTTCCCTTGCCATAGTTACTTGGAATCACCCTCCTGATATTTCAAAGATCATTAATAATAATTCAGAGATTATGTTTTCAGGAGAATGTCACTATTCTGTTCTGCCTTGAACTCAAAACACCATCTTCTTTCTTCCTCTTTCCTTGACTAATCTGCCTGAGATAGCTAACACGAATGGAGTAAATTTAATTTGTTCTGTAGAAAATACTTTTCTTGAGGCAGGAGTGAAGTTTTAACAGGACTTGGCTACTTGCACTTGAATGTATATTTTTATTAATGAGTTAATAAAAGAAATGTAGTAAATTTGTGAAGTTTTGTGATGTCTGGAGCAGCAATAGCTGGGGTAGGTAGTTGCATTAGCACATGGTGAAATCTGCCTTATCTTAGTACCTTGTATGGAAAAACAAAGATTTTAGAAAAAAAGGTACAGGTATTTTGCATACAAAAGACACTTCATGTCTGTCAGCAAACCCAGTCATATTGAAACAGGCATTGTGGAAAAAGCAAGAGACCACCTAAGTAGACACTTTATTGAGTATGTAACTACCAGTGAATAAGATTATATTGTGACAGCAGCTCTCAGGATCCAGCTGAACCAGAAAAAAGAACCAAACCCTTAGGTTCAATGAGAGAAATGGGACCACACACCTACGTGCACATACAGCCAGTGGAATGAGCCACATTTTTTGGTTTGTGTGTTTTGCTTCTACTTCTGAGCCATAAGTTCATTTAGAAGGAAAGGAATTAGATGATCCAAGTCCTTTAATCTCAGAGCCTTACAAGAAAAGAGTGAGACATACAAACTAAATGGATATGTTTGTGTTTAATTAACTCCACTGCTCGTGGCATGGTTTTCTGTGAGCATGGGTTCTCCAGTCATTATAACGTGAGCAGTGTGAGCAATAACCTATTGGTATCTACATCTCTCTGCTCTGGAGGAAAAGCAAAGACACCACAAAGGAAAGGGGGAAATCACTGTACATCTTTAGTCTCTGTGAACTATTTTTCAGCCTTTTTGGCAGATTTCAGAGTTGTAAGCCATTTAGCAGGGAGCATGCTTTGTGTACTGCCTCTGTGCTGTAGTGAATCAATCACTTCTGGTCTACTCCAGTTCCAATCTGAACCTGGAATTCAGGACAAGAGAAATGACTGGGCACTGCAGAAAGCTTTTAGTAAAACCGTACCATTCCTGCTGTGCCTGGATTTGGACAAAACTGAGGGCAAAACAAAAGGAATTAATTACTTTGGACAATGATACTAAAGCTTGGAATATGAACTCTGTGCGGTATGAACTGCACAGAAATTGTTGGCTTCAGAATTAACCTTAAATTCTTTGGCAAGTAAGTCACATAAGCCTGATACAAACCACAAATACATTTTTCTTTTGCCCAAAAAGAGTCTTCATCCTTTCTAATTTGTTGTTGGATGTCATATGTACCCATTTTGTTTTGGAAATAAAGATTCTGACTTAAAAAATGTTGTCTGCTTTGAAAGTGCAGCTTGTTTTTTAAAGCAATGAGATTTCCTTTTTTTTCTTTTTTCCCCCCACAAAAATTGTACAGTTTGTGGCTGGTTTTTGTTATACATTGAACTATCTAAAATGAAGAAGAGGCTCTGAGTTCTCCAGCACAATGTGAAGATGTAGTGTATTCCTTAGAAATTAATAAAATATGATAATGCTGTGAGTTTAATAGCATATTGCCATCTGAAGACTGTAGAAATTAGTATTATATCCCACAACAAAAACAACTGAAGGAATTGCAAATCATAAGGAATGAGCGACAGAGCTGGAAACTGACTCTGGTGATCCGGGATTCTGCTCCCTGATCTGAGCTTTCTGTCAAAATCAGAGCTATGTCTGTTTCACATTGCAAGACAATAGACAAAAATTTTTATTCCAAATTTGAAAATATTATTCCCTATTAAAATTCTAGATAGTTTGCTAGGGAAAAACAAAACAAAACAAAACTTTAATATATGAGCTATAGCTCTTCATTGTAAAGTTTCATACAATTGACAAATGTTTCCTAACTAGACTAATTGTACATAGAACAGGAATAAAAGTGGAAAAAAATTATCCTGGGACCTTTTAGTAGAGAACTATGACTGTGTATAGGAAAAGACAGGAATGAAATTTTGAATCTCAGCTCTATTTTATTTCTTTGCAGTAAGAGTTTACTTTTGGTCTTTTGTTCAGAGTCTTTGGACATATCAGCTACCGTTCAGACTGGGAACTGGTGAAGGTGGACTTCAGACCATCCTTCCCCAGGGAGTGCACTGATGAAGACTATGAGTCTTGGGAGCTTACCAATCTGCAGGTATTCCTGGTTTTATGTTAACTGACAAAACTTTTCCATAGCTTTCAGATTCGTATAGAGTTGTGTGCTGAGAAAATATTTCCAAATTGAATTTGGATGGTAAACCCCCAGCTTAGTCTCCTTATGCTGATTTCATTGGAGTTTAAAGTCAGAGAGGATTTTGTGTTCCCTTTGGTTGTGTGATCTGTGTCCCAAAAGAGGCAGAAGTATATCTGGGGGGCTGCCATAATAATAGGTGGTCCTGCTGGGTTGGGAAGCATGTCCCATAAAGTGAAGTGTGTAATATTGATTGAAACAATTTCAACATGCAGTCGTGTTCTGCCAACTTCCTGACCACATACCATACTCATATATAAATTGCCATAAGTAAAGTCCATTCCAGAAGTCATTTAGGATCTCAGTGGACCAATCACATAACAGAGTCCAGTTGTTTTGGGCAATACCCTTTCTGCAGTAATGCACTAAGGCTGTGCTAATCACAATGCTCTGGCCAAATCCATTTTTCGGAAATGAAATTCTCTGTGCAATGTACTGATTAAAGAGACCAATATGTGGTGGGATTTTTTATTAAATGGAACACATCATATTTATTCATAAAAATTCTGATTTTTATGTTTATTACTTCCACCAGGGTTGGTTTATTTTTTGCATACTACTCAGTGTTACTCCAGCTCTCATTTTCTAGTTCTTATGCCTAATTTTACACCTCTTGTTTGGGACTGCTGTGTGTATACAAAGAATGTTACACAGATCTGAGCCTAAAGAGTAACAGTATCTTGGAGTATTGGCATTGAAATATCTTTCAGAAATTAGAAACTACTAAAATTACTTTGACAGAGTACTTGCAGATGCCCAGTTACCAGTGGAGTGTGTATGGAGAGAGTTTATTCTGTGTCCTCATGGTTGGTGCTTCAAATGGACAGCCAATATGAGATATGGTGATTTAGAGAAATTCAGCTATCTGCAGCCAGATGAAATATTTAAATGGCCATTCTGAGCTTTGCACACAGGTTGGATACTCATGAAACATAAATTGCACTTGAATTTTCATGTGCATGTTCAGATTTGTGTCCTGAAAATATAGCCTATGTTACAACTCTGTAATGACCTGTTAGTGGACAGCAGTGGATATGAGGGCTTTCTATACCTATATATCTGAGGATCAGAGGGTTGACAAGGTTTATAGTCTTGGCAGCAAGACCAGCCTTTCTCAGGACAACACAAGGTCTGTTTGTGGAGGTTCTGTTGCAGTAAGTGCAGTGCTTTGATATTCAGGGTGATCGTTGCATCATGGGCCAGCAGAGAAGCTTTCGGAAGAGGAAGATTTCATCGTGGTGCATTAAAGGGAAAAGTTTCACATCAGCTCTCACATCCAAAGTTTGTGAATGTGTGAACACTGATTTCTTATGGTGAGTCTGTCTGTGGGCCTTTTGACTTATTTCTAATAAATATTTACTTAGAGCTTGAGATGGGTTTATTTTCCTCCTTTTGCCCCTGTTCCCATCGCCATGTATAAGCAAATGAAAAACCTGTTATTCAATAACAGGTTTCTTTTACATTTGCATTTGTTTAAAAATGTTGCCATGTTTAAGTATTTGTTTCACTTGACTGAACAAATCCTGATGTTTTTCTCTATTGATAAAGACTTGAAAAATGACCATTGAATTAATTTAAAGGCAAGCTTAAAAAAAAAAAAAAAAGAGAAAAGAAAAGAAATGGCTGGTCTGAGTGTCTAAGGAAACCTTTAAAAACATCTTTTTTTACCAAGGGAGGTAATTTTCCAGAACTGACAAAGTAATTGCAGCCAGTTTTTCCCCAAGTGTACACAACTCCCATTGAAATTAGAACAGAATTGGCTTAATCATCTTGTATGTTCATCTAGTAGAATAACACTGGAAAAATATATTGACTTTGAAAAATGTAGTTTCATTCACCCCAAGCTGGATTGCAGAGTGAAGTGGGGATAGTAGTAACATGTTTGGTGTTGATGTTCTTCAGTGATTACGGGTTTGAGCGCTCTGCACCTCTGAAGCTGGAGTCGAGCAAATGCTTTGCTGACTTTTGGTTTAACCCAGAAGCACCTCCTGAAGACTGTGTGTTGGGGCAGGCATACACCAGCAGCACTGGGTAAGCTGATTTTGCATTTCATGGGTTTGATGAGGCTTCCAGAGAGGGGTAGAGGCTACAACCAGCAGCCTCAAATGTGGTTTGAAAGAAATTCACATTTAAATACTTAGATGGAGTCTACAAGAGATCTGGAGAGAGACTTTACACAAGGACACGTAGCGATAGGATGAGGGGTAAGTAATGGCCTTACACTGAAGGAGTGAAGGTTTAGCTTAGATAATAGGAAAAAATTCTTTGCTGTAAGAATGGTGAGACACTGGCACAGGTTGCCCAGAGAAGCTGTGGATTCCTCATCTTTAGAAGTGCTGGAAGTGTTGAAGGCCAGGTTAGATGGGGCTTTGAGAAGCCTGATCTAGTGGAAGGTGTCCCTGTCCATGAAAGGGGGGTTGGAAAGAAATAATTTTTATGGTCTCTTCCAACCCAAACCAGTCTATGATTCTATGAAATGTAAATAAGGCAAACTGTAAAAACTGGCAAATGGAAAAGTTCTGATTCTGATATAGAGCATGAGCAGAAGCTTCCTACAGACTAATGAAAGGAAAATATTGCCTTGTGTGTTCACAGTGGTTTAAAAACTACCCCATTTGAGAAGAGGTGGAGCTGTCTTTTAAAAATTTTTAATTTTTTGGTAATATTTTGTATCATTACACTTCTGATAGGAATGTTCATTCATAGCCTTTTCTTTTAGCTCGTTTCTTGGGTTCAGAGTAATTTTCAGTTTGGATCCAATGAATTACTCTGTGGAACTGACAACATCTCACAGAATTTCCAAGTTTCTCACTTCCATAAGGGTAAGGAGTTCTGTGGAGAATAGATTCTTTTCCTGACCATATGGGACACTCAGAATCAAAGGAAAGCTTTAGTAACTATAAACAATACTGCATAGAATATACACTACAATGTAGTCTGACGTCTGTGCTGTGAATAACTTGCAGCTGGCATCTATTCTGGCTTATCATAACACCATCACAGTCGGTTGTGGAGATGAGAACCAAATGCTGAAATGTCCAATCTGGCAATAGAATCACAGTCTCTGTGTATATTTACCTTACAGAGGAAAATGCTGCCTTTTGGGTTGTGGCTGACAGCTGGGATATACAGAGTGGAAATTCAAAAGAATGAAATATAACTCTGATTGTAAAGTATGTTTAAAAATAAGATACCTGTGTGAAAGTGATCTGTAAATAATTACTGTACACATCCGACTATTTCATTATTAGCACTTTAAAAGTGTGAATCCTTTCAGTCTTTTATACAGTTATATTAAACAAATGCTTTAAGTGTTTTAAGAAATGAATAGATTTGGAAGCAGCAGTTAGTTCTGGGTTAGTGTAGAAGTTAGCAATTAGTTCTGGGTTAATGTAGAAGCTGTTTGGTCTAATTCCTTCCCAGTCTTTGGGATTTGAACCAAGACCTCTAGAGCATTGAAGACTTGGATGCTAGAAAAGGGGATGACAGAGAGGAGAGCAGACTGTCTAGGTCCCTGAGGGTTAGTCAGGCATGTTTCTAAGTTGGAAAACACAGACTCTTCCAATGCATGCAAGTGAAATTCTCATCCATTGTCTACATCTTCTTTCTTCAGCAGGTTTCCACTAGTAAAGGCAATGTCCCTAATGAAAATACTTGCATTGTTAGTTGGCTTTGATCATTTGCAATCTTGTCTGTTTGTGAACCTAAGGAAAATGCAGTGGCCTCAATCACACGTGCATTTGGTGCCTTTGCTGGCATTCTTTTGCTTACCTCCAATTCACTGTGCCCACCATTTACTGTTTTTGCAGGTACAGGAAAGTTGTTTCTAATGTGTGTGAAGGTGGAGTAGACCTGCAGCAGAACTTAGCACACCATATGTGTCCATTGATTGCTCCCAAGGGACTTCAGATCAGCATCAGAGAAGAAAGCCTGGCTGTTAGGCCTGGGGAAGACATCACCTTCATTGTCCAACAAGAGCAGGTAGTAATAAACACTGGCTATATGGAAGTTGAATTGCTGATTTTAGGGTTAGTTTCATTCCTACCACTTTTGCTGCTGAATGAAGATTAATTTATGCTTGAGACAAAGATTAACAGTTTTCCAAATACTGAAACTTGATTTCAAGTAAATAAGATAAGCCATTAAACTTGGTGAACCTCCAAATTCTACCCGCAGAACAGGATTTGTCTCCTCAGCAGAAAAGACACTGGTTTCTTGGAAAATCAGAGTAACTGGATTACCAAAGTCTTCTTGGACTGAAAATTTCAACTGCTTTATCAGAGAAGAACTAAAATGGAGAGAACATTTAATACTAGGTTTTAGGTGTTTTCAAGAATCAGCCTTTCAGACAGGAATGAGGCAAAGCCTTACAGAAATCAGCAAATAGCTCAGCATAAGAATATTTTTCTATATTAGTTGTGTTGCCAAAGATATGGGATTTTTTTTTTTGTTTATTGAGAGACAATTCCCTAAGGCCGTGACCAGCAGCAGCGAGTAACTTTTGGATGAATTGTTTGCCATGGGTTTATTTTCTCATGCTTGTTTTTTAGCATTAAGTTATAACTGCTCTGCTCAGGTTACCAGAGTATTGTAATCCTGGCTAACCCCACTGGTTTGCAAGAACTTGAAGAAAGTTCACACATTTTGGCAAACCTGTGCTGTATAAATCGAGCACTTGGGATTTATTTCTGTAATAGAATCAAGAAGGTTACGTGCAGAACACTGGGCTGCTTAATGCTTCACAGGCTCTGTCCCAGTGCGTGCAGTGCCCCAGCAGTTTGTGTGGCAAGTCCTGCTGCCTTCTCTTTTTAGAGTTTGTTTGGAAATGTTTATCGTAAGCCTAGAGCATTTGGTTACAATTTGGACTATAATGATTTTGATTGGCAGTTTGACTTTTTTCCTACTGAAGCTTTCATGAATCTCTGTGGCAATAAGAAAAACATTTAAAATTATTCACAAATCTTCAGAAATAAGGGATCTTGAAGAGAATCCCTGGCTGTGTCTTTTGGTGAAGTCTTTGCTCCATACATCAAAGAGGAAGACAGATTTAGAAGAAATACAGCAGTTTGGTGCCCTCTATGGCTAAAAATATTTAAACTCAAATGTTCTGAGCATTGCTTAGGACTTAATCTGTATGACAAAGTCTAATGAGAATTCATAACAATTACTGAGTTTAAGAATCAGCTCTACTACAACAAACAAAAACATACTACTTTCTCTGGTGAACGAAATGAATTTGCTAGTTTCTGTGAGTGCATGTTGTTAGGTGCAGGAATACCAGACATCAGAGAGGAAAGGAAGCAGGTTTCTGGTACATTTGGGCAGTTTGTGACTGTCCTTAGAAATAATAACAAATATATGCACCATCATGGTCATAATTTTTCCTAAATTTTGTTGGCTGAATGTATTAATAAATAATGTCATGACAATCTCCTATCTTTTTATGGAAGTGGATGTCCCAATTCCTTATAGATTTATCTGCCTTTTCCCTTTGTCACTGTTTTGCTGTCTCTCCATTCTCTGTCTTTACTGGTCAGGAAATAGAAATACCTTGGTGTTTTGAAAAAAAGCACCCTCATCTTTACACTAAGGAAGTTATTAGTCATTAAGAGAACCTTCCTCTACTGTCTTTCAGTGCTAGTTTCTGTCTCACCTGGAAAAAATATGCATGTACACTTGTTAGCATTAGACAGAGTGAACAAGAATTACATGCAAGCTAATGTCATCTAAAGAGATTCCACTTACTAACACATTGCGGGCAAGGAGATATCTCTTCTGCTTTAAACTTTAATAATATATTATCTCCTCTGCAAAATTCTACTCTTCTGTTGTCAAAATAAAGATGTTATTTGGGAAAAACTATTCACAATGAAGAGGCTTTCATAGTCCTTTATGTGTCTTGAAGTATGGTGCTTAGGTATTTGATAATCTTACAGGTTCCTTATTATGGGTACTTTTTACATTATAAGCAATGTTGTTTCATGTGATAAAACATGGAAGAAAATCGTCCACACTGCAAAATAATAAAAGGGGCAAATAATAGTGTGTTTTCCTTCCTTTTGTAATGACAGGGTACATAGGTTCTAGGCATGATATCTCCTTTGATTTTCAAAGACTCATAGAAATATAGACTGACAGGTTGGAAGGGACCTCAAGGATCATCTGGTCCAACCTCTCTTGGAAAAAAGCATAGGATAAGATGCCTGGCACTTCTTCTGATAAATCTTAGAATTGTCCAGCTCTGTGTAATTCACCTGTTTCCTGGGGAGATTTTTGCAATCACTGAACATTGTCATCATGAAAACAATTACATTAGTGCTGTCTTTTAGGATTACATTTTGAAATAAAGCAATTTCAGAGAGTGGCTTTTGGAGAAATGAAGTGATTTTTGAATACTTTAATGTCAATCCTTTTCTGCTTTGGTGGCCTTTCATGTTACTTGACCAGCGTATGGGTGTATACATTCCTTTCCTAGAGGCAAGGAAGTTTTTGAAATCAATACTTGTGTTTCCACAACAAAGAGGCTTTTCTATGAAACCTGGCCCTGCAGCCTGCCATGATCTCTGGGAAGCAAGGAGGAACATCCACACTGCTGGAGGTCAAGGACTCAGGGCCCCTTGCTCAGGCACTGCTGCCAGTAGTATTGAGAAAGTGTTGCTGCTCACAGCTAAAACAAACTTTCCTTTGACTGCAACCAAATGACCAGTCCATGTGGCACAGGTCTGATTTCTCTCTTGAGCAGCTATGCCATGACAACACATAAGTGATGGGCATCCGCTCTCTGACAGTGGTATCAGCCTTGTGGTACTTGAGGCCTGAGTTTAGGAACACAGTGTCACACTTAAAGGAGCACTTAGCAAAAGTATTATGAGTTATAAATTCCATGAGCTATTTGACAAGACAGAATTATTTGACTGGACTTTTAAACCATTTCCCAAACTCAGCTCAGTGATCTGCTTTATTAAGGATGCATCTAATTTTGCACTAGAGCATGTTAGTTCTTGGCATGCTGGTAGCTCAGTGTATCGCTCTACAACTCTGTGAAGATCCCAGCTTGGGTCTTAAAGGCTGGTTGACACTAAGAGGGGGTGGCTGGAAAGTGCTGTGAAGAACATCTAAGCCAGTTCATTTCACTTTATAACTGCAAAGGCTAGAAGCTTGGGCGATGAGTAAGAAAATGCTAAAATAGCAATCTTCAGTTGTTTACGATCACATGAGCATCACTTTGGAACCTGGGGCTGCCCTGCACCATTATGTTACACAATGTCCAGCTAGATTAAGAGTGCTGGTTCTGTGCCATACAACTTAACTTGGTTAGTGGTCTGGGGAATATAATGTGTTACACAATGTCCAGCTAGATTAAGAGAAGAGTGCTGGTTCTGTGCCATACAACTTGGTTAGTGGTCTGGGGAATATAATTTTGAGGCAGCACCTTGCTCTGTAAACACAGTATTTTCTCTATTAGTGCACACAGCATTGTTGCACTAATGTAATTGCCATGGCAGTAGTGATTTTACTGCAGCCGTTGCAATTGGGTCAAGGTGTCTGTCTGGGGCTGAAAACGCAGTTGTGATTCCATAAACGGTTATAAACATGCATCCTGTCTATTTTGAAGATATCTTTGATGTGTTTTCCTTTTAGGGTGATGTATTGAGTACCAAATACCAGGTAGATCTTGGAGATGGCTTTAAGGCGATATACGTGAACCTGACGATGACTGGAGAGCCCATCCGCCACCGCTACGAGAATCCCGGGATTTACCGCGTGTCCGTGAAGGCTGAGAACGTGGCTGGGCATGACGAGGCTGTGGTGTTCGTCCAAGTCAACTGTAAATCAGCTCTTTGGTTTTCTTACTTTGGCCGTTGTGTGCAAACCTCATGTCAGTTATGAAGTAGGAAAGAAAATTGCTGGTCGCAATTAGGAAAGATCGTATTTTTTCAATATCCTCATGCAGTCCTGCAGTGCTGTGTGTTATTAATGCTGAGGCTTATAAACCTAATCCAGTAGGAGCTCAGAATTAGTTTTGTTTGGATTTGGCAGAAGGATGGTTTATTAATCTTTTAAATAACAAGCATGCTTCATATAAATTTCAGGTTTGATCCATCTTCCTGATTCAACACCCCTTGTCAGCCTTAGCAGCTAAAAGTTAATACTTTGAGCTATGTCTTTGTAGAGCTTCCAGGTGCAGTGTAAAGCAAGTTAACAAATGTGTTGGGAAACATGAGTTCTTGTATAATTTTAAAAAATAGTCAAAATCTCAGTGGTTCTAAATCTAAATTTCAGGTAGTTAATTCTCAGAGTTTTAAATGGTGCTTGGATATAACTTCATGTTTGCAGGCAGTATTACTTGACTTGTTCTTCTCTTCCTCTCCTTAATTAAGACTGAAAAAACCCAATCAAACAGATATAAAATAAAGAATATCACGGCCCAGGGAATATCATGCACCATTGCAAGCTTAATGTACCTCAGTCTTCTCATAACTGAAATGAAGAAAGGAACTCAAAAGTGGAACTGATTTCTCCTCTTCCTTTGAGATTCAAGACATCTATTGCCTGTTTTCAGATGCGTCAAAAAAATTCAGAAATGAGTAACATCAAAGGAAAATATACTCATCTTGCATTCTCCAGGTGTCTGTTTCCCTCTGCTGTGAGTGGTGTGTCTTCCATCCTACTCCCAAAGCAATGGAAATCACTGGAGCCATTTACCAGGTTGTGCACAGAGCCATCTGCTTTATGTCAGCTTGTCTAGTGACTGCTGAGCTGATATTTTTGTATTTTGCTAGTCACTGTCCTTGAGTTCAGAGTTTCCAGTTCTCCTTTGAGTAGCAGACAAAGACAAACACATTCATGCTAAAGACCAGTCTCCTGTTAATATCAAGCAGAAAGAATCAGAACCAAACTTTACAACTCAGTTTCATTATCTGTTTCTTTGTCATGTTTGTTTTTTAAATAATTTGACAACTCCAGAGAGCTCAGATTAATTACTTAGGGCTTCACTGTTCCTTTTGAGAAGCTTCTAGGTGCTGAGAAGGGGAGTAGGCAAGGAAGTAGTAGATCTGTACAAGAAATGAACAGGAAAAAACTGTGTGACATTCTTCTGTCCAAGTATAACTTCTAACCCTTCAGAGAATGACAAGCAGCAGCAAGCCCTGATGGAAAGCAGAAGACTCTCAAAGTGTGCTTTTAATATGGCCTATGTTAGAATAAACAGTAAAACTAAAAGATGTTGATTCTCGTTTATGCAGCAGATTTTAAAATTGCAGAAAGCAGAGTTGTTTCACACAAGTAAATGACTGGTGCATTATGGGGCTTTGGTGCTGAAGTTCAGAGGCAGCAGGGCACTGAAGCAGATGTGATCCCTTCCTGAGCCTGCCCCTGGGTGCTGCACAGGGACTGGCAGACTCATGGCAGTGTGTTACACAGTCTGCTTGAGTAAATGCATTCCATGTGATTTGCTCTGTTTAATTTTTTTAGGTAAATTACAAGATTTGAGGAAATTAGTTGGCGCTAATTAAACTGCAATTTCTACGTTCTAGTGAAACACTGATAGCCATTAAGGGACATTTTTCACTGTGGAATACCATGAAAGCAGGGGTCTCTGTAGAATTCTTCTTTCAGGAGTCAGCAGTCTCCAACTGACATATTATTCCCAGGGAATTTTTGCAGAGGCAAATGGCAGAGGAAATCTTTTCACTTCTGCCAGGTTGCTATGGGACATCTGTAATGCAGGACAATTATAAGAATTTTGGCCTGTCATGCAAATCATACTTTCTGATCCAGATTAAACAATCTACAACTTTATAATGAACTGCAAGAGAAATTAGTAATTAGAATTAGCACAAATGTGAGTAGGCAACTGTAGAGGCCCAAGAACTCAGACTGAAAAGAACTAAAGAAGAACTGCATACATACATCAATACATATGCTGCATGCATTTTATTTTTCATGGAACCATCACCTCTATAGTGTGGAACTTCGGAAACTACTGAAATTTTAACTTAGTTAAATAGAAATCACATAACCTCAGTCTTAATTGTACATACTTAAGAGTGCTATAAACTTTGTTCAAATGCACAATGGAATTGTGTATCAGACACAAGCAGAAGGACTTGCAGAAATTATTCTCAGCTCTTTAATATATAGAAACAGCAAACTTGAAATTACAGTCATCATTCAAGTAACAAACAACTTGGCCTCTAAAAATCTTGGAAAAGAAAGTAATCTTCTTCAGGAACAAAACTATATCTCAAAGTAATCAGTTTCCTCTGTGAAAACACACATTTATGGCAAAAGCAAAAAAGTTTCTCAGATTCTTCCAGGAGGAAAATCTATTTCTAGGAGGAACAAATTTAATTAAATTCCTGACATTTCTGAATTTTCTTCAAGACACCATCACCAGAGAAGCATTTTTACTCCTCTGGAAGCTACTGAAGAGATAATTTGTTAAAGCACCCAATATTTCTTGAATTCATGTTGGTGGTTAAAGACTTATTGGAGAAAATGCAGAGTAAAATAGAGCTTTACATTTGGATGAAGCACCACACAGACCAAGTGAAGTGAGGTGGAAAAGGCCTTTGGACAACTTGCTCTCAGAAGTTCAGTCAGTTTAGTCAAAGTGACATTAGAAGTGAACCAGCAGTGACTCAGTTCCTGATACAAAATAAGAGAAATGCTTTAGACCAGTGTTAATTGCCATTAAGTCTGCACTGAGATGAAAAACCTTTGAATGAGTTAAAAGATATTTAGAATGGAACAGAAATGGATTGGTTAGTATTCATTCTGTATAATGAATAAATGTTGAGCTGTACAGTGGTTTCATATCCCAGGTAGTTGGTGCAGGTGAACAAGTAAAATTCTAGTTACCATCTTGTACTGTTAAAAAGCTTTTACCTTCAGGCATTCTGATAAAGATATACTGGGAAACCTCTGAGGGAAAGATTTTCTTTCAACACAGTTATTGTACTGTGAAACAGCACAACACTAATAAACATAACACAAGCAGATAAAACCATTGTAATGATGCATTTCTTTTAAACAAATAATAATGTTTATGGTTTTAGTAGTTCAGAAAGGAATAAACTTACTCTAAGGCACATTTTGGAGTCCAGAGGTTATCTATTTTGATTTGCAAATAAATGCTCCCCTGATGTACAGATCTATTTTAAAGCATGAATTAATGAGATTTTTTGTGTGAGCCTAACAGCTGATATTTTATAATGAAAATGAGTAGTCAGCAGCAGTCTTTTTCAGTTTTCTGATTTTCCCTTAGCAATTTGAGATTTGTTAGATTTCTATTCATTTGATCTTTTGTTACTGAGTTTAAAAAAAAGAAAAAAAAAGCTGAGATTGCCTTTTCCAGTTTTTAACTGGAGTATTTGCTTAAGTATTCTCAAACTGGACTTGAATGAAAAGAATGGGCATGAGAGAAGCCCATATTGTTGATCTGTCTTATTGCTTTCATATTTGGTTTGAGGGGTTTTGGGGTCAGCTGGGGGATGTGTTGTAGTTGAAATGAAGTCTTTCCAATTATGTCCATAGCTTTCAACATGAATGTAAAAGAGGAAGGAAAGGAGGGAGGGAAAATAAATTCAGGACCTTATGGTGAACAGGTGGGAGGCTTTTGGGGAAGGAAGTGTTAATAAATGGATGGATTCTTGTTCAGTGATATTTTTGGAACTTTGTTCAGCTCCACTCCAGGCTTTAAATTTAGAAGTGGTTCCAGTCATTGGGAGAAACCAGGAGGTGAACCTGACAGCCATCATACTGCCTAAGAACCCTAATTTGACAGTTTTCTACTGGTGGATAGGAAACAATCTTCAGGTACACAAATGGTTTTGATTATTTCAAGAGATTATTTCAATCTCTTTCCAATAAAGGTCGTACTTTTCTTTCAATTTCTAAACTGTTTGCTTTGTAGGGAGAGAAACAACAATTTCTTCTACTTCATTACTTGTGGGAAAAAATCAACTTCTTGTCCCTTTCTTTCAATTTCTAAACTGTTTGTTTTGTGGGGGGGAAACAACAATTTCTTCTACTTCATTACTTGTGGAAAAAAAAAAAACTTCTAGAGGGGAATGAATTTGGGATCATAACTGGTGAATGATGAAACTTAGATTTAGAAAAAATCAACTTCTAGAGGGGAATGAATTTGGGATCATAGCTGGTGAATGATGAAACTTAGATTTATGCACTTCCAAGCTAATAACATGAGTGATGTAAATTGAAGTCCTGAACAAATATATATATATATAGGTTGTTTAGGTTTTTTTCATTGTATAGATAAATGTTCTCTGTGAGTCTAAAATAACAGTCATATCAAAAATAAATGTGTTATCTTAAAGGACATCAAAACATTGAGAGCACTCAAACAATCTAGTGTTATTCATGAGGATCAAAGTCTATATAAACATGTCCTAGAGCATTAAATATCCCAGTATTTCTGCTGGGAAATATTTACTGTATAGCTGGGTTAATTTCTTTTAGCGTAATTTTTTCAATAAGAGATAAGTACAATATTTTCTTTATGAGGCAGACTAAGTGTGACAGAGGAATGCTTCAAATAAGTGCAGTGAACTTTCTTCTTGTGAATGTGCTGTCTACCCTAATCCCATCCTGTATCTGTTCATCATTATTGACTTTTCCTTTGCAAGAAGAGGCACTGAGGCTCTTGTGAAGGGTTTTGTCATTCTTAAGGATGTGGTAAGGGAACAGAGTATCTCAGCTCCACCTTAGAGGTGACTGTGGGCTGGTGCTCTAAGCTGACAGCATTAATCCTTTTGACCCTGACATACCCTACATTTTTTGAGGCAAATGAGTTGCTTCATATAATCTTGTAGAGATTGTTGAGTCTCCCTCAGACTCCATTAATTTTAGTGGGATCTGACTGAAAACCCAATACTCGACTGATTACTCTAAAAGAAATATTTTCCTTATCTGGCTGCTATTCTGATTATATAGGATCCTTTTAGGGAAAGACTAATTCTATATTGAAAATTGTTATTGATCAATTTGATAAAATACTGAAGAATTTAAATTTTATGTGGATTTTTTTGGTGATATTTTTAACAACAGTCTCTTCCAGCACTGTTCTCATGGTTCTTGCTGAAATTCTGTTTTCAATTTTTCTTTGCTTTTTTAAAGCCACTGCTTACATTGGAGAGTTTTCTGGTGACAAAGTTTGCTGAGACAGGTGATGTCAGAGTTACAGTGCAAGTTTCCTGCGGGAGCTCTATGCTTCAGGACTCAAAAGTTGTCCACGTTTTTGGTGAGACATTAGTCTTTTTCCTTTTTCTGTTTCATATGTGTTTTTATTGGACCTCTAAAACCAGCCCTACCACAAGTGAACCTATTGTAAAATTAAATCTAATGCCAGATTTAATTGTTAAAATTAGAGGCATGAACAGTCATTAAATAACTCCACAAAGCTGAACAGTGGGATTCTATGGGAGGTTTAATCTCTAACATTTTGTTTCCTTTGCTGATTTTAAATGTTACTGTGGTTACCAGATGCTATATGTGTTTAAGTAGTATTTTGACCTGTGACTAGAAAGTTTCCCAGAATTTGTAAGTAAAGTAGTCTAAATACCTCTGAAAAAAAAAAAAAAGAGAAGAAAGAAAATGCTCTCATCATTGAAAACCATGTCAATTAATTGCCTTTCATCATCACAATATATCACTGGTACCTTGATGTTTATCTGATATTTTGGATCAAATATAGCTCTGCTGTAATTATTAAATAACCCTTCAGCTCTTGTTCCATACTGTGTTCTGGTGTGGCTTTTTGTGTTTATTATGTGGTGACAAGGCAGAATATACTGTGGAAAATGCAGTGCTGGGAAATTATTTGCATTTGTATTTGTGCTGTCACATGTGGGAATTGTGATAAGCATAAAAGCTTTTATTTTAATGCAGAGCTAAAAGCCTTCAGATATCATGCAATACAAGATGTGATACATCTCTTATGTCTGAAGAAGATTCTGTTATTTTTGCTTTTAGTATACTTACTAATTTGAAATAATGGCAAAACCCCCACTTATGCTAAATAGAGCTTTTATGAACCTTCTCATTTTCAAAGATAAATGGATACAATATTTATGTTACCACTTATAAATGCATCAGCTTTTTAAGAAATCTTTAGAAGTATAACCTTCTTAGTGTGACTACATCAATGGCTTTATCATTCCAGTTCTTCTTTTGCCAATCCTGATATCAAGAGCATGAAAGTACTGGCCATAAGAAAAATAAACTTTTGAAAAAGAAAGCCATGTTAAAATAAAATTCCATTGGAAATACTGAGTAGAAGCAGGTTTGACTTGTGCATTCCAGAGGTTCTCTATCCCTGCTTTGCATTAACATCCCTAGGTTTTCATCCAAGGATCCTGTAGGGAGAAAGGGAAGACTTTAGGGACTATTTTCTGAGGATCATCCCATTTCTAGTATTTCAAATATTTTTGACAATATCCAGAGAAATATTATGCGTGTACTTTTGTTGTATTTTTTCTTCAAAGAAGGAAGTAGTTAGCCTTTGTCATATAATTTCTGTTCTTATTTTCATATCTAATTTATGGAGTAACGTATTCATTTTATACAGAAAACAGAAATGTGTAGTGGAAAAACTCCCACATGCTTATGATTCAGTGAGAATAAAATCCATTTGTACATTATCATTTCAAATAAAAGAAACCAATGACTTCTTTTTAATACTCCCTTATTGAGCTAGGGGAAAATTATTGGGAGCACTATGACCCCAGAGCATGTATGTAAATCTGCTTTGTTTCCTTTTCTTCCTTCTTTCTTCAGTCTTTGGGCACAATTTTGATGGTGTTGATGAAAACACAGAAAGAAATTGAATGCCTGACAAAAGAGAGCAGCAGGGGTCCTAGATACTGCAGTGCTGCACAGCAAAAAGTGCTAAATAGAGACTTTTAGTTCTATCAAACCCCTTTTGCAATCTAGTTTATTTCTTGCTATTTGTTTTTGTTTTTCTAGATCATTTTCATGTTCTTCCTCTGAAGTTTACTAAGGACCTGGACATGTACAACCCCGACATACCAGAGTGGAGGGAAGACATCGGGCGGGTGGTGACGCGACTTCTTGCAAAGGTGCTCGTTCAGATTGGTCATAAAATGTTCCCTTGCCAGTAGTAAAGCTTGAAGGTTAAGTTAATCCCTTCTCATTTAGAAGGTTTTTTTGAAATGGAGGCTGAGCAAAATAATAATGTGAACCTCACGAGGCACATTTCATGCAAGTTTGCACCTAGTGTCACTTTTAAGTGCAAGCTGTCGACGATGATATTGTAACACAGACAGTTTAGGTCTAACACAGCCTAATTGGCAATTAATGCTAAATATTGCTCTCTGGGATTAGGGATGGACATATTAGCAAACACTGCTGACTCCAAAACAGGAAGAGTTAAGTAGCTTAAATGTGATAGATTTAGAAGCTAAGCAATGTGTAATGTAAAAGACATAATCTTTGTGTAAAAACAAAGCTGAAAGAAAGAATTTCCTGTGCTTGTTCTGTAACTTTGAAAATTATATATAATATATAGGCACACAATTTGTACAGTTGTTTTTCAGAGCATGTTCACAAAAGAAATGTGGATTTGGAACAGCTGAATCCTGTAGGTTAAATCAAATACAAACTATGCAGTAGTTCTGTGGCATTAGATCACCTCATGGAAACGGGGCTCGAGAGCTCTGCAGGCACACACCCTGCCAGCAACTGAGGGTGCACACACTGGCTTTCATGAGGGCAGTAGCACTGAGGTACAGCTTGATATTGTTTATAAAATATTGGAATTTTAAATTATTTTACTCTGCCTGGATTTGCGGTCATGCAAATCAGGTTCTAAACTTTTTGACTTTATATTTTCCTGCTTTCTTTTTTTTTTAGATTCTTATCAAATGTCGAATTAATTTCTTGCTTTAATCAATTTAAACTCATTCCATAATGAGTTTCACTAGTGTCAGTCAAAAAATAGCTTACTCCCCTATAAAATAACTGTTACATTTTAATAATTACTAAAACATTTGCCAAAGTATACGAACAATTTAATGCAGTTTCAGAATCTGTTTGAGGAAGGCCAAGGAAAGTGGCCGCGGTACAGTCACTAGAATTGTGTGGCTGCATTGTACAAACATGTAGAAACTTGGGACTAAAAGCCAAATTTGCACAAATATTTTACGAATAGATTCACTTGACTTTCAGCAGGGGAATGAAGGTATTCATTACAATTTCAGGAGCAGAACCTCAGTGTTAGTGTCACATTGAAGGGCTTCTCTCTGTCCATTAAGCACCTTCCTAAGCAACCTTCAAAAGCTAAAGCTAGCTGTAATGAATATGCACTTCTAAGTCTACACTGTGTCTGAACGGCCCACAATGGATCCTGAACCACTTAGGATTGTTTTTGTATGTTACTGCAGAAGTGCTTGGCCATTGCAGAGTTTTTATAAAACCTGAAAACCTCTTCATGTTGTTTCTTTTCTTGATGCCACTGAATTACTTTAATGTGATAACAGCACTTAGGCCTTCCAATATTCAAGGAGCGACTCACATTTCGGTACATTTATGTTTGGCCTTGTTCATGTTTCAGCTTCTAGTGGAATTCTTTTTAAATATTAAGGATCTGAACAATGAGTCAAAAAGCCATATGTGGAGATACTTATGTATTTTATATAAAACACAAAGTGTGTCTTTGTTGTCTTCACAGGAGACCAGTATACCTGAAGAAACACTCATGACAGTTGTGAAACCTGGTCTGCCCACAGCTGCTGACTTGCATGTGCTACTACCAGCAAATCAACCAAAAAAGAAGAGAAGCATAACAAGTGATAAGGTAACCAGAGCAATGCACATCTGCCTAGGACAGCCTTCATCCTGTTTTGCAAGAAGTGGCTGTAGTCTCATTGCCTTTATATGAAATTAAGAGGTGATCTCTGCCTATGTAAAGATCTCACTCCCATCTGACAAGATACATATGAATACTACAGAAGCTATGTCTGCTGTGTTTGACAGTGTCCAGAGCAGCATAATCTACTTCTTTCTGGTATTAGTGTGTTTCTCAAGAATATTTAAATTTGGTCTGTCATTTAAACAGAAAAAGTAGTGATACATGTCATTTGGTGAAGCAAAGAGCAGAGCAGAGTCTCTGCACTGTCTTCAGAAGGAAATTAGATTTCAGGTCCAAACACACCCAGAACCTTAGTCATTGACCCATAATGTAAAGAGCATCTAGCAAGTATTTTCTGCCCTTGTAAGAAAATGTCATTTTCAATTGGCAAAAAACAAATTTAGTGAACACAGGATTGAAAATCATATTTTAGGTTCTCCCTAGGTGTTTTCAAACAAAGTTTCCTCCATAGTAAAAGACTTCATGCCATTTGAAAACCAGAAGACTGTTTGACACTTACAATTTATTATATTTGTCCCTTTGCTGTGACAGAGAAGAAGCAGATGCTAGCTGTGTGCCTGTACCTTGCAGTTCTTGTCCTGCCAGTTACAAAGAATCAGTGTAGGGTATCCTTAACTTTGAAGAACATTTTACAGCTTTTTAAGACAAGGTCATGGTCTCCCAAGTGCTGGAGAAGAGGGAAGACAAAGCTCTTCATATTAACATAAACCAAATAGATTGTGTTTGGAGTTCATGAGATATACTTTGGAAGGTCCAAAGGAGTATGTTGAAGTTGTCCAAGTACTTGAACAGGTGTCTATCATTAAAATGTGTGAGTGCACAAAGCTTTCTACTTTTTTGGCAGACACCCTTACTGTTCTCCCATGTAATCACAGTGAGAATTCCTGGGAGTTTGAATTCCTGATTATGTTGCAGAAAATAGTTAATTTTAGTAGTTGTTTCTTTTTTAGAAATCCATTCATGAACTAAGGCTTTCAGCCAGGAGAATATTACCACTTCAAAATTATTTGAAAATTTACATTTCTTGAGGAAACAACGTGAAGCTTCTAAAGGAAATTCCTTATTCTGAGCCTGTGGGGAATGGACATGTTCAATAGTTTAAGGAAACTAATGGTGATAGATTATTTTGGTTGTACAAACATTTTACTTCAGTGCAAAGTGTTATGCATATTAGTTCCCTTTAAATCTCAAATTCTGTATTGGTGCTGTGCTTCAAGGCAGCTTAAAGAGTATCAGTTAAAATCAATGCTGTCTTAAGATTTTTCTCGTGTTTGTGTATGAAACATCATGTGAGTTACTTTAAAGCATAAAGAGGAGCAATCCTATGCTGAAAACAATTTGGAAAAGCTTCCATTCCGTGGGGCCATAGGGATGTTTCAGTAGTCTAGCAGGACACAGATTTGTAATTAGTTCTCCAGTAAGGCCTTGCAAAGGTTTTCTGGAACTAGAGGAGCAGGGGAAGGGGAAAGTAATTGTATAATCTGGAGAATATGTGTATATTTCTGACATTGTTAGGATGAACCAGGTCAGAGCCATGGCTGGAGCAGGAACAAGGGAGCCAGGAGCAATTTCAGCAGCCTGTGCTCTGCTGTGGTAATAAGTCAGGTACACCAGTCTCACATCTCAACACCGACTGTTTTGTAGAGTACAGAGCTGCAGAGATGTACAGCCAGTCTTCTTGTGACAGCTGCCTACATTTCTGGTTTTATATTATTACTAATGGGCGTTGTTTTAGCTTTTCATATGTGCAGATAAATTTGTTGTTCTAGACTTCAATGGCAAAAATTTTGACAAAATATATCAGAATCAATTGTGACTTGAGAAATCTCCTGAAAATATACCCTATATAAATAAACTTAGAAGCAATAGCTTCTGGTAACTCAACAGGAAAATATTCATGTTGTCATAAGTTTAAAGATTACTTACATTCCCTTCTGTTACTAGAAGAGAATTCTGAAGATTTTTATCATGAATCAGTGGAAAGATGTGCTTTGTCATGCTGCTCATCCCAGTTCTCAAAGTCAGAGTTGTGACACTTTTGTGAGGACTCAGCAATGCAGAATTTTTTCTGCACATTTGGAGGAGGTGTCCCTGATACTCTTAACTTAGTCTTAACTTAGACATAGTGATAAAATGTATTTTCTTAAAGAGAACCTCTTTGTTCTTGGCTGAAAACCTTTTAGATTTGGGAATGTTACATTATTGCAGAAATATTAAAGGCAATAATTTCTTGTTCAGGTAGGGAATAGTTGCTTGCTGGAGTTTTTACTGGTCCTTTACATGGAGTGTTGGGATGTGATACTATTTATTAGGTTAGTCATGGACAATACAAATAATTACTGATAAAAGTAGCCATCAATAACAAAGATGGTAAGTAAGCTGTCAGTGCAATAGGAGGAGCCCTTGGAAATTCTGAAAATTTATTCCACTCTGACAAGAGTCCTTTTTGTTTCAAGTATATGTAGGGAGAAATAAAAGCTGACTGTGATTTAACCTGCTTTCAAGAACAGAGAAATTTTTAAAGTATTCCATTCTGATTATAGACTCCAGAGAAGACTCGGTTGCTTAATTTATGCACAGCTACTGCATGTCTAATGTCAGGTGGGATGAGTCCAGTTGAAAGAGTCAATTAAAATGTAATTAAACTATAATCTGGAAGGCAGGGGCTCTGAGGAAGATTTCTATCCAGACAAACTACTTCACAAAAATTCCCAATGAGTTGCTTTGGCAAAAAGGGAAAGTCAGAACCCAAGATGTAGAAGTGGGTAAGAGTTTGAACATTGTCATTATTTTTCATTCTTTTACATTCTTATAATGCTGGAGCCATTGTGTTCACATGTTCAAATATTGTCATTGTAAAGGATGTAGAAAAAGCAGATAGAAAATTCAAATGCTGGTCTATGAACCTGAAACTTAAGTCTAGCGAGGAGCTCCATAAATACCTTGGGGCAGAAAATAAAACCCCCATGAGCTCTAAAAAAAACATCAGTTTTTCAGTGAAATAAGTAAGCCAGAACCTTTGGCTGGATTCACATGAGATTCCAGCTTTTGACCTGAGGACATGTTGATATAGATTTGGGTACAAATCTATATCAAGCAGTGGAGAGTTAAATAACAAACAGGTCTTAATCACTTAAGCAAAAACCACATGAAATGTTGGGTTTCTTATGAACCTGCCAGGAAAATATGAGGAATCAAAAGTTATGGAGCTCAGAAATTTCATGTACTGGCTGTAAGTCGTTTAACCTAAAGTATTGTCTCTCTGGCACTGTACACCATGAACTCATGAATGAACCTGGATGGATACAAAGGAACTTTATTCATTGACAGCAGCATCACTTTAAAAACACCTAATCCTAAGGAGGAGTTACTCCTAAGTGGAGTTGTCATCTCCATTTTCTTTTCAGGCTTTAGGCAACAAGATAAATACTTATGAGCTATCTGCTGTAATTGTCTTGTGAAATAACTGAAGCTATGCTCACCATTACGTTGAGTCATTCCCACATTAAAAAAATTTAATAAAGTCAGTGGAATAGCTTCAGAAGTTAGATATTCCTCAAAAAGAATGATGATATTTGAACTTTTGTATAGTGTCTGTCCATTATATGAGAGGGACTACAGGGATTTTTATCCATTATACTTCAAAAGCATGTCAAAGATGAGCACCATAATTGATAATATAGTAACAGGAGTTACTTGTGAAGGTTTCATGGATATAAAGAAAATTTCTAATTTGGCATCCTCTGGGAAGTCGTGTCTCAAATTATAAGGCAGAGAGTATAAAACTAGCTTTGATCTTTTAGAAAATTGACCATGTTGAAGACACAAGCAAGTAGAAAGTATAATTCAGACAATTTGTCATCTGGGGTTAGGATGTGAGGGTATATTTAATGGTTCTGCTCCATAAAAATATGAGAGACCATATTTCACTATGCTCTATCCACTGGAAGAAAATGGGAGGAATACTGATTTTTTTTCCACATGAATGAATGCATATATTTCTGTGGAGTATTGTTAAAAATTAGCTATTAATGGAATTCATTCCATTGTAGGTAAGAAGGTAAGGTAAGGAGGTAAGGAGGTAAATTATGACATGCAGTTCATTGTTAAGTAGTAGTTAATTTTCATGGCAAAAAATCCAAAGTTACATCACAGGTTTTCTTCTGATAGGTTAGAAGAATGGGGCTTTTAATATGGATTATGCATTGTGTGAGTTATGACCCAGGTAAACCCAATAGCATGTGCAAATTGCTTGCTGTCTGTCTCATAGTGGGTAAACGTAAAGACTTGGGTAATCAAAAAGAAAGATTTGGCTATAAAATTGTGATGTTTTCAGCTTTTATGTCTTCTGGAGTTTTGCTTGATTTTTAAATATTGAATTTCTTTTAGATTTCAGCTCATCATTGACAAGTGCTTTCACCATTTAAAGAATCAGAGGGTTTCCTTTTTAGAACATTGAGTGTCTCAAAGTGGAACAGAGCACAAGACATCTGATGTTCTCTCTGTTGTATTTTCAGAGAATAGCAGCTATAAAGCAGGCCCTGAATGCACACAACATCAGTTTCTTTCTGAGGGGAGGATACTGGGTCTTAGTGACTTTAGCTGACTCCGATTCAGGTAAATATATAAAAAAAGCTATCAATAGACTAACTTTTGGATGCCTGTTCAAGTTCTAATAATTTAAGGAGAAAATCTTTGTATCAATATGTATGTGACATATAACACATATGTACATATTTACTTGGTACTTGTTACATATAAATAAACACATATAAATATATGATTATATATATATATGTATATATGCATATAAGTATACATTTTCATTTGGTCATTATTAACTATCACAAGCAAATAATTTTTTTTTTTATATTTCCATTTTGTCAGACCTCATGATTTGTATCACATGCTTCTTGCTTTTTCTGTGTAACCCCAACATAAAGTAAATACCTCCATTGTACAAAATAGTGCTCTGAAGGAAGAGCCAGCCAGGCTTCAAAAATACATCTGGTGATCTAAAAGCTCTTTAGATCTGGCTGCTAAGAAAACAGAACTTCTTTGCCCTTATATCAGCCATTAACTCTGCTGCTGTGACTACATGGGTCTAACACAAGGCTTGCTGCATCTCTGCCATGTATCTCTGATCTTCTGATCAACTAATGGGAAGGTTGCTGTAGGGTCTCCACACTGCTAATCTGTCCTGAGATAAATTGTGTTTTTTCTCTGTTTAAAACAAATGGAGATGGGGTGTTGTGTGCATTTCCTGCCTCCCTGGATTGACTGTTGATGGAAACTGGTTGAAGAGAGTTTGTGTGCATACATGTGTGTATTTTAAACAGAGAGATGTTAAAATTATGTTTTAACCATAAAGTCTAGCTTTGACTTGAATCTTTCATGAGAATGTCCTGTAATTTTTGTTTGTGCATTATCTCCCATAATATATCCTTTATTAAGGATATATTATGGGAGATTATCTGTCATTTCTCTGTAGAAAAAAAGCTCTTTTATCTAGTTTCTAATGCAGAATTGTGCTACAGTCTCACTGTGGTCCCTTGTCTGGTGTAAAGAGTTGACATTTGTTTGCCAGCACAAAAGAGAAGGAAATGTTCATTCCAGCCTTTATCAATGCATGACCTTGATGAGTTCATTTGTTGTTCAGAGCCTTAGTTTCTCCATCTGTGAAATTAATACAGCCCTGCTTTTGCCAAGCAAATATGTAGGGTGTGTGATCATTTACTATGATAACTTCAGAGTCCCTAAAAAAACTCTAACCATCACTGAGTATGCAAATAATTAAATATTCAGGATCTTGGGTTTTGCTCTTTGTTGCTTTATATTTTTTAAAGGGGTCCTCTGTTCTTCAGTAACAAGCCACCAACTAATTCTGTGGTTTTGCCATTCTGAAGAAGCCAGATGGATTGAAAAGAAGAGGTTGCAAAAACAGTTGATGGTTTTCACCTTACAATTAAATAGAAAAGAATGCTCAATAATGTGAATGATGTGGAAGGGGACATGCAAAACTGTTCTTTTATTTTGTGTTTCAGACTCTCAGAGGATTGGAGGAGGCAGTGGCTACTGGGCTATTGTGGTTCTCTTTGTTGTTTGTTTAGTTGCAGTCGGGGCTTTCATCCTCTACAAGTTCAAAAGGCAAGTAAATGTTAATCAATAAATGCATTTTAGTAATTAGATTTATCCATAGATTATCAAGACATAGTTTGTTATTTATAAAGAAGATTCTTGAAGAATTGCAAGAAGTACATCACTTTGAAAGTCATATTTTTCTGAACTTTTCAGACATCAAGGTACTGCACTAATGCTTGCTTCACTTGCTGTGATCCAAGATAAATATCAACAATATGGGAACTATGGAGAGTTTGTTCAGTTTGTCTAAATAATACCATCAAGAATCAGAGCTGAACTAAAATATCATTCCTGATTAATTCCCTTCTCATTACTCCTAACATTTATGAATAAGCTAAAACTATTGGGACAGGGAGTGTATCTGCAATGCTGATTTGCTTAAAAAAGTAGTTTTATCGAAGCATGTAATGCTCTGGGGCTTCTCTTTGCACACATTACATTTTAATTGCTGAGGCAATGCCATGGAGAATGACTGACAGCAAGAAATTAGCTTTAACTTGGCACTAGAGTGTGTGGAGGGAAGAAATATTTCTGCAAGATATATTTCTTATGTGGAGGATATTCTTAAAACTGAGCAATGCCAGCCTTGGACAGTCTGATATATCTTTAGTCTGTGATTAATTTTAATCCAATCTGCTGTGCAATTTAAATAATTTGTTGTTGTTCATGGGACAGTGCTATCATTGTCTATCCTACTGATATTTTTGTATCTGTATCTCTGGGGCATTCAGAAGCTGTTAGGTTTGTGCATACTGGAAATAAGCTTTCACCATCATCATCATCATCATCATCGTCTCCTGTTGTCCTTCCTCAGTGAGGATTCATACTGATTTGCCTCATTTATTAAGGGGTGATTTTTATTTAAAATAAATATGTTTATAGAACTACAAGCAGCATTAAGTTTGTGGCAGCAGTAAATGAAGCTAATATTAAATAAGAGTTTGTTTAGCTAAAGTGTTTTTATGTCAATAGAGAAAAACTCCTTTTTCTTCAAGAACCTGTGATTTTTGGAGTTCATAGTGACTGATTGCTTTAAAGGACAAAGCACAGAATGCTGTATCAGCCTGTCTAAAATGGAATAAAAATCCATTTTACTCTTTTAGGTGCCTGAAGCAAGGAAAAAACATAAAAATGGTTGATGTGATGTAATTATATTATTTCAATAGCAATACAATGGAGGATTTTCTGTTTGTGTTTTGATCATAAAACTTCCTTGTGATATCTTGTAAAAGCTATCTGATTTATATATTTTATTAGCTCTTAAATGAGAGTAATTAAATAACAGTCACAATTACTGCATGGTAGAAGAAGTGTAAAATATTCAAGAAAGTAATAGAAAAATATTCTTCCTTGAGTTCTTTCTAAAATGCTCTATGAACCGTTGCTTTATAAGTAGAGCTTTTATTAAGGAGGAAAATACAGTGCAATTTCCAAATTGTGCATCTCTTGCATTTCTGTATATAATTTATAAAAATCATTTGAATTTACATTTGGGGGCTGGGGGTAATTTAGATGCAAGTGAGGACTATTGTGAGATATATTCAAAAGTTTGTCAGTAGCCTAAAAACAGCTGTTGGCATTGATGAATGACCATGCAGTAGTGTTCAATTTTAGTCTGTATCTTATGTGTTTCTGAGATATTTGAAAGAATCCTTTTTAAATAATACTGGTAAGCTTTTCAAAATTGACAATTTTCTTGGTTGCATACTTCATTTGCAATTTCTTCTTCAAAGAATACTGAGCACCTAATCAGTGCTATGTTTCAAAAATTGCTTTTTCCTCATGGGCTCCCTGTGAACTCCTTTCCCCCCAAGATCTTTAATCCCTTTAAAAGAGTCTTTCCTGTGTTTATGGAGATGATTGGTGCATTCCTGGATCCACATGGAGTACTTGTTGGGAGTACAGTCCCTTTAAAGTCAGTACAGCGAGTATGTAAGTTTACAAACTGGCCCACAGAGACTGAGGCTATGAAATGACTGTCCTTTATAGATATAAAAGTTGCAAGTTATAATAAATTAAGGAGACTTTTCGCTATTATATGCCTGGGTATTAAAAATTAATTTGCTGAAAGAATGCCATAGGCAATAAAAAATGTTCAATTTTAGGTGATAATTTCAGAATTACTGTGGCCTGTGGTAACTCAGATAACTTGGGGAAATAAAAATATTATTTAATTCCACAGAGAAATTACAGATGTGTAAAGTGTTGAAATGATAATACTGTCCATAATTATGATGTATGATTTACAAACCTAAGGAGGACATGGAAGACATTTGGTGGTGCCTTCCCTTCATTCAGGTAGATTAATACAAAGGTTAAAACACCTTTTTCCCTACCCTAGTGAAATTTTTTTGGATTCTCGTTTTATCACTACACTGAATGGGTCTACAGGACCTGCAGCTGGCATTGGAGCACATGCAAAGCAGATGGTTTGCAGGAGAACTGTATGAACATGTCTTGGGCTGCTTTCTCTCTTTGCTGGCTCAAAGTTTGATACCTGAAAAGATGCAAGATGGAAAAACTGACTTGCAAAATAAGATGGTAACTGGATTGGCAGGGAGGTTACAGCTTAATACACGAGAGCATTTCATCTATTTGCAGTGACAGATTTCAGGACTTGTGAAGAAAAAAGCAGAAAAAATAGCGGGCTTGTGTAGATCTACAGCTTTGATAGAAAATGGTGAAACATGCCCAAACTGCCCCATGGTTTCTGAGTGCTGAAAGATCTTGTCCCTAAGCATGGTCACCCACCCAAACTGTTCTTGAAGTCTGTAATTTTATGATCTGCTGGATAACCAGAGCTGTTACGGCTGTCTAGCTAGTGACTGGATGACTGTAGGTCACGTTTTATATGCCCTAATCCCAAATACTTAGGCATTGACTAGGAAGACTGATTCCCTCTGTTTTTACATGCTGTAAAATTGCAAGTGTTTGTTCTTTCATGTCCCCATTCCTGAAATTCATGCACCCCCCACTTTATCTGATGGTTCCTTTGTGCAACACGCCACTTCCAGAAAAACTGGTACTGGAGTCCCCAGAGTTTAGGAAGTGACTCCTGGAAATCCCAAGCATGGTTCATTGCTTTAAACCAAGGTAAAAAAAAAAAAAAAAAAAAAAAAAATCCAAAATGTTTTGAGAAACACAGGGGTTTGATCCTTTGTGATCAGAGTAGATAAGGACTTCAGAGCAGGGCTATTTTCACGCTGTGTATGGCAAGTAAATTTTAAATTATAAATGCGATGGGTTTTTAAGAACTAATGGTAGTGGTGTTCAACAAATGAGCTGTTTGGTTTATCTGAGCTATTGGTTTAGGTAGTTTAGAGGAGGAATGGCAACAAGGAGCAAGGGCTCATTCCTTGCAGTTGAACCAACCTTGCCTGTGCAGGAGGAGCAGAGCTGTTAGCAGCTGTGGGTGGTGGGCAACGAGTGAAGCAACTTTGCCCAACTCTGCTCTCACTTCCTGACTATGGAAAGCACCACAGAGTGGGTGCCTCAAGCAAACAATATGTTGCAATACTCACTAGTATGCTCCAGTTGTTTAAGCATCCAGGTAAAATGGATTGCAGCTGCTTCTTTTGCCCACTATAATATGAAGCAGCTGGAAAATAATTTTGAAAAATCCAGGGCTATTTCTTATTCATGGATCTGGGGTCTGCGTATATTTTTTTATAGCATGCCATCTTTACTAGATTTGATTCAGTAAAAACACATTTCTTCCATTCCCTTTGAAACAATGTTTGTATTTTTTTGTGGTTTTCAAGCTGCCATCCAGAAAAGATTTCTTCATCCTCTCAGTAGAAGCTTTATGGTGTGGGATCCTGGGCAACAGTATAGAGAAGGGAAATAGCACTGTCTGCACCAGGCAAAGTGGAGGAAAGGAAAATTATATTTTAGCCACATCAAAGCTGCCATGTAATCATCATGCCACTAGCAGAGGATCTGAAATCATCATTTTCTTATTTTTCATTTCTGTATAATAACACAATACTAGAGTAGCCAAACCAGAGCAAATAGCTGGCTTTTGTGCTTATGTATTTTACCTGGCTAATTGCAGCAAACTCAATTCTCTGAAAGAGTATGAAAATATTAATCTTTTAATTTGTATGCAAACTACTTTACTACTTAAAGCTGCATGCATTGTTTTCACAAATCACTATGAATCATCTTCACCCAGATTTATACCATTTTGTGTGTATTCCTTTTTTGCCTGCTACTATCAAGTACCAATTTTGGTAAATGAACCCCCTCTTGGGTCATTTCCACAATCTGGAGCAGAACTGTGTTATCTTTCTGCCTCATTGACTTACTATCTCATTTTCAGTCTCTGAAGAAAAGCTATCTTTTTTCCCCACCTTGCTTATACTACTTTTATGTTCCATGAGAGCAAGCTTAGTCCCAATCCATGCCTTTTAGTGATAAAAAAAAACAGGCACTAATTTAATGTTCCATAATATTTTGTAAAAACATCCTCAGAAATCAAAGTAATAGCATGCAGAAAAGATTTCAGAAATGAAAGAGGGGAGTATATCAGGAGTGCCTCAAAGCACAAAGAAGTCAATCATCTGAACATTTATCCAAACATAATAAAGTCAACACCACAATAAAGTATTCTATTTAATGGATTATTATTGTCGTTATTTTTATCTAAGTTCCAAGAGAATGCTACATTATTACATATTCTTTGCCATGTGAATATGTTCATATGTTTTATACTAAACTGAATTTTAATCAAGCCTCTGGAAAATAAATGAAGTTTTATAAAGGCAAATGAATATTTTTTTCCACAAAGAAGGAACTGAAAGCCAAATAAACCAGAGCTTAAATGAGCAGGAATCAATATTGCATCCACCTCCTGCTGTTCCTTCCTGCTGAACATCTTTAAGTGCTAACAGTTTGGGGTATGAATTGATTAGAATTTGTGAATAAAGGAAGGAAAACAAAGTCCTTCCTGGAATATCTTCTAAAAGGTGTGGGACCTGGAGAGCTTGGTGAAAAGAATGTGTGGTGATGTTCTTTAGTAGTGGTGTGCAGAATTACATCTCTAGCTCATATTTTTATGGTCCTCAAGGCAGGGAAAATATTTCTTCTTTTTCATGATTGAAATAAAATGCTGCAGGAAAAACAAAAGGAACTAAAAATGTAAACTGTGGAGTGCTGCTCAGCAGAGGTAATTGTCTCCAGTGATGGATGTGAAGCACATGCATTTTGCAGATGAGTTAAGCCCCCAAAGAAACGATTGCATAATCTTCTTGTCTGTTCTTCTAAATGTGCTTTCAATTTTCATACTGCTGATACAAATCTCTTGGGTCAAATTTCGTGTCTTGTCATGTTTTCACAGTAGTCTTTCATGTAGACCCAAGAATTTCAGCTCTGCCTGCTTCAAACACTTACACTGGACTCAAAATTAACTGCTTCTTGAAGAAGAGCAAAGCACATCGGGGTACACTAGATGTAGGGATGGCAGCCTCCTTCCTGCATGTTTGAGTAGTAAAAAGCAACATTTCCAGAATCAGACCCATCTTTAGTGAGGCTCCAGTATCCACATCCTATTTCATCCCACAGTGTGGTCATCCCTTATAAACAGAATATCCGGCACATGTGTTAAAAATGCCTCTTGAAAAGGCTTGGCCTGTCATTGTCTTCAGGGTGGCTCAGTGTGTTCCTTATAAAACTGAGCCATTATGAAAGACAGAAAGATCTCTGTAGTGTATAAAAGGTCTAATGCTTACAGTACATGTCTTCTCAAGGCCTGTGATAGTCTCCTTCCTTCAGTCCATTCAGTGTTAGTCTTTTCCATGTCAGTGTGAGAAGCAAAGGAAAGTGTGAAAGTACTGAGTAGCTCAGCTTTACACCTTCCCCAAAGGACCTGCACTTAGCAGAATTGGGCAGGATAAGGCGAGTGAGAAATAACAGTTCACTTTTTTTTCTTTTTTTTTCTCTTTTTATTCCTAAACCATAAGGAAGTGGTCTTAGCAACAATGCATTTACTGGTTATTTGTGAATTTGGGAGATTTCTTCATTCTTCCTGAATGTCTTTACTATTATGTGTTCTGCTCATGGTTCTCTCTAGGTAGTAAGTCATGCAGGAGCTGTGAGCTGAAGCCTCAGGATTTACACCAAAGGACACACTTTGCTAACCTGGTTTCATAGGCAGTAGTCACACTAGCAGCCCTTCTCTCTTTACTTAACTGCAAAGGTCTGATGTGCCATATGGCTTTGAGATGTTTAACAATTTATAATGTCAAAATTGTTTTGATAATGCCATTGATGCTTCTTCAATCTGTCAGAAATAGTTCGGAGAAGGTTATTATAATTATTGTAGAAACATATGTGCTAATTCTGCAGATGTGTTACAGAGACATTCTTCTGGGTTTTGTCTCCCCTAGGCTTTTGATGGTGGACTGAAAGTGAGCAGTTTGACAGGTTTGATGCAGGTCTGATTGAGAGAATAGTTTTCCACATGACCAATTTCATTACCAGACACATTAAAAACAGTCTGGAGTTACTGGCCCTAGAGAAAAAAAATCAAAATTAATTACCTAATGTATTTGTTTTGGTTATGAGGAATGTCCTTCCTTCTTGCAAAATGGCTTTTTTTATCCATAAGGAGAGTGATGCAGGGCTTGGCTTTATGTGCATGTTTTGGTTGGAGGAGTCCTCAGACCTGTTGAAGTGATCATAATAACACAGCATTGTGTCATCAGACCTTCTTTCCATCCCTGTCCTTTTCCTTTTGGTTTTGTACTGCTTATAAATAATGGGATAAAATACCTAATTTTTATTTAGATATATAATTGTGTGTGTGTGTATGTATACACACACTATACAGATATGTGTGTTTGTGTAGATATATAGGACTGATATAATTGTGTGTATGTGTGTGTATGTATGTATACACACACTATACAGATATGTGTGTTTGTGTAGATATATAGGACTCAATTTGTCTTTTGGATTGTTCAGATTAAAGGGAAGGTATTATCTTCAGTCATCTTTAATTTTTAGTAAGTTCCATTTATTTTCATTAATTTGATGCAATGAAAGTTGTTTTTCAGAATAGTTTGTTGCAGTTACTTTTTAAAAAATTGTACCCCTTGCTAAAGACACCTTTGAAATGGCATTTAAAACATATCTTCTTCAAAAGCCTAGAGAAAATAGAATAATCTTTATATTTATCCAGCTTTTAAACTGCTGCTGTAACAAGGAGCAGGAGATGGTTGCTTTTAGAGAGATGCCTAAAAATTAGTGTCACTTTTTCTATTCTCTCTCTGTCTAAAGGGGCTCAACAGAAACCACAGCTGTTCAACTCTGTTTTTTCTCTTCTTCTCATTGTTTTTCTTTTCTGCCCATTCTAATAATCTGTCTTTAAGCACAGACTTTGACAGCATGATCTGCTGTCATGCTGCTCAAGCTGTCAAGCAGCTTCTGGCGCTGTAGGAAACGGAGCTTAGAGCCTGCAGTTCCCTAATCTGAAGTGCTTGGTGCTTGGGAAAGGATGTCCCATGTGCCTAGGCAGATGCAGGTGAACACAGCTACAGCACAAAGGGTATGGCTCTTGAGGAATGTTTAAACCATAAAATCTGTTGCAAAGCTAGCAGTCCCTGATTTTTCCTTTTGAGTTGACAAAGTCTAATTTAAATTAATCTAGTTAAGAAGCCCTTATCAAGTCCTAAGCCTCCCAGTCTCAGCCAGGGTGATAATTTAATAGGATGCTTTTTGTTTCTCTAGATTCCAGTCAGAGTGAGTGAATTATTGTCTCTTGTGGAGTTTGTCTAATTAATCAGTTCCCAGTCCAAAATTTTTACTCTGTCTCCTTCAGTGCTGCCTGCTAAACTTAACCAACCTCCCCTGTCTTGTGCTCTTATTGATGCCTGTTTATGTTCTTGCTCCTTCCCCCTTGGTCCTGGCCTCCTAGCTTCTCAGTCTCTGCTCCTGTCCATTCCCTGTATCCTGGACTTCTCCTGACTTTTTCTCCCTGACCCTGATTGACTATGAGTGCCATCTGATGCTATCACACTTCAATGTCAGCCCACAAGCTCAGGGAGATGTGATGATGATGGCAGCCCAGCTTAATGTATGTGACAGCACCTGGGACCAAGAATGAACAGCACCCACTGGGCCCTTTTATTGCTTGAATTCTTAAAATAGGTTTTCTGTGGCTTTAGTAATTTTTTTCAACATTGCTCATTGTTAATCTTAGAAATGGATGCTTAACTATTATGTTAGTCTGGAGATCCTGATAAGGCAGTTACATAAAAATCATGACAGAGAACAAATAATTGGTAAGTTTAGGTTATAATCACAAAATTAAGGTAGGATTGGATTGGTGATGATTTTTTGTTCTGGAACAACTTTGCCTTGCTGGAGCTCTGCTCTGATGCCTGTGTGTGACACAAAAGAATTCCATCCCAAAATTTTTTCTTCTTGTCCCATTTAGGAAACTGCCAGGCAGAAATGTCTACGCCCAGATGCACAATGAAAAAGAGCAGGAGATGACAAGCCCTGTTAATCACAGTGAGGACACCCAGAACATCATCCAGGGTGAGGAGTTTATTGATGATGATCTGGACTCTCAAACACTAGGTAACGCAAGAGGTAACTTCGTTTTTAGCTTATAAATTTTCCTAAGTAGTTGATTTTAAATTTATGTTTGTTTTCATTTTTGTTCTTTTTTATTTTCTGTTCAGTCTCAAAAATATGCAAATGGTAACAACAGTAACAAGGGATCATCTCAATCACCTTTTGGCTTGCTTGAGATACAGGCTAATGTATGGATGACATGCTATATAGAGCATGAGCACAGACATAGTTTAATGTCAGGAGACTGACTTGGACAATTTTAGAAATAAATTATATTTGGTAGAATGGGATATAATCTGCAACAGTTGAATTCACTCAATAATCCCCTGAATTAGTGGAAAATTTAGTTCAGGCCAGAAGGATTTGTAGAGTCAATGCCTCTGTGATTTCAGACGGATTATATGGAGATCCATTGCATTATTTGCCTTCATATTCCAATGGCATTTAAAGTTTCTTTTATTAGAAACATTAAATTTATTCATGTATTGAAAGTATCATAAATCTTCCTTAATTTAGCTGTTGATTTTCTACTATTCATGAGGTGGTTATAAAGAATCCATGAGGGAAACTTTCTGTGAGTATCTCAGTGCAAATGATTTCAGTGTCAGGTGGAAGTGTATATCCTGGCACCCTGTGGTTAGTTTTAATGCAACACGGACTTCTGATCTATAATACATTGTCTTCAGACTGCTTTCAGGTCACAGTCTGAAAACTGTAGGACAATGTAAACAGTTCAATTTCTGAAAATTTGTGAAAATAAATCAGATGATCCAAAGCTTTGGGGATTTGTAGCAGTAGATTGATGGTGTGAAAGGCAATTGTAATGTCTTTGTGAACCCCAAGGAAGAAGATGTGTTTTAGCTGCACCCAAGGTAGCCTGGGCAAGACAGAGCCTGGCCTGATGAGAGATTTCTTTATTTTGGGTTTCACCTTTTTTGTTTTTTGTCGATGTCTTTATTTTCATTTGCAGAACTGTGTGCTGCTTCTAGGTTCTTGGAGGTGTTAGCTTTGAACACAAGGGAAGAATCCAGCCTCTTGCTTTGCTTTGTGTATTTCTATCTCTTCTCAGACAACCTTGTGTATGAGTATCACTGCTTTCATTCTAATTCTGCAAGACGACCTTTTTTGCTCTCCTGACTTTACCGGAGTTAGTTTCAAAAACAAACCTGGAAAAACAAAGTCTATGTTAAATTTGTTTGGTCATCTCGTCTCCAGGGTCTTTAGAGGAGAAGCTGAATGCTAACAAGGTCCTTGCCTATTAAAGTGGAGCATTCAAACACCTCTAGTAATGTACAAAAGCATAACTTCTTTTAATGGTAGAAAATCCCTCATGGCTTATTTAAAAGAAAGCAGCTTGGGATGCTCTAATAAAGAAATGCTACCCTGATTTGTAACACATTTAGAATTAATCTCTGCTTGCCCTGCATTTGTTACTCAGAGAAAACAAAAATCTCCCATCTGAGCAGAGCATTATTTTTGGGTTAAAGAGTACAAGATCATGATGTTTTCATGACATAAGAATGTGAATGTGATTTTGAGGTGATTTGTGCTTCAGCCAGACTGTCTGCAGCAGCAGTCTTTCCAGGAGAGTGTAAAAATCTCATTTTTGTGGATCATAATCATTCGTATTTGTCAGCTGCTGTACAGCTTTTAGACAGAAGATATTATTTAATACATAAAACTACACTCCTGCTTGCTCTACTGTTTTGTTATTTGCAATACTTTCCACTAGCTCCGGTATTGCTCAGTACTGCAGAAAGAAAATATTCCTGTTAATGATACTCTATTTTATCTGGTTTAGACTAAGAATGTAATCCCTGCTTTATATTAAATTCTGGTTTACTACATTATTTGCAGAAGGTTCCTATGCTATGGAGATCCCTTCTAGTTCTGGTGAGCTTTCTCCCTCCCTCTTGGGAGATGTCAGTAGCCGCCTCCGCTCCGAGCGCAGCAGGGAGTTACAGGCCTGGGTTTCTGTTTGTTCTCTCTCTTCTCATAACTTTTGAATTTCCACAGTACAGTATTTCCAGACTCACCCATCCACTTTTTTTGTTTTCTATATATTTTATGTTGCCTACTTTATCGCAACCCCCACCTTGGGACTCCTCAACACCATTACCTTGCAGTGACTCCTTCTGGGAGAAGTGGCAACTTGAACAGCTACAGAGTTCCCTTATTGCTGATGCCGGTCAGTGTCCAGTCCCAGGTCAGTGGCATGTCGAATGGACGCCTCAGGTTCCATTCTCCTCCCTCACCTGCACCCCTCGAGACAACTACACCTTTATAAGCCACAAAGAGAACCAACTTATGCTGTCACTGGGATAGAAACCCTAGGAATTCACCACAAATCCACCACCATGACCAAAAGCTTTGTGCAAAAGTGTGCTGTAGGTACATGGAGCTGTTGCACCAACCTTCACCTGACCTGTTGTTTGATAAAGACACTCTTTTATGCAATTTATTTGTCTCTGCAATAAAAGGGGGATTTATTGTGGAGTACCTGAATTGCACTAATGTTGGCCTTTTGTTTCTGTATTTTCCTAGGCAATCACTCAGGCGTGGTTTTGAGCATCAACTCCAGAGAGATGCACAGTTACCTGGTTAGCTGATATTTGCAGCTGAACACAAAAACCGAAAGACTCTTCACTGTACCATTTTATTTTTCCCTGGTGATGTTCCAAAATCGCAAACATGGCTGTAAATGCTGATGGAGAGGAGGTTTCTTATCAGTCCTGTGGAAAAAGCATCCATCATCAGTTACCAAGGGCAAAGGATAACATGTCTTGTGTTCACTCTATGGCCTGGGAACTCATTTCGACTGAAACTCAAATTATGGTAGCAAATTTGTAGCCCTAGGCACCTTCAATGCCACCTTGTTTCTTTTCTGTATATGCTCTATTTCTTTATGTTTATTTTTAGAATGATTGACTGTAACTTTTTAATTATATTTTTAATTGAGGTATTCAGTGGAAGGCTGGGAGTCTTCTTGATTTTTACACAAGTGACTAGACCAGAAAAGATGGTTGATCACAATGACAATTTTTTTAGTAGGCCAAGTGTTTCTATACTGGGAAAGGACTGAGAGACAAATGCACTCCTAGTTGAGACCAGCTCTTAACTTAAACATGTGTGAGACAATCTAACAAATTTAGGCTTAGGCCCTTCTGAGGATTAAAGGAAGTAAAATGTTAATTAGGATATCTCGTAATATACAATAATGCTCTTGTAATTGTAGCAAGTCCTGACAAACTATCAGCACCAGTATCTTCCCCCATCCCATCACATGTGAAAGAAAAACACCAGCTTGATGCTATTTCCAGACCAGGTGCCTTCACTTGTGGACAGTCATTTTAGTTGCTCTTTTCCTTTTCCTGAGCGAGCCCCTCTAGGATGATGGCAGCTGCCAGATGAGTTCTCCTGTTAAACCCTAGGCTGGTGGCCTGTCTTTTTTTAAATTCCCAGAGAGTGTAAATACCTCTTTTACACAGTTTTCTTTGTATGGTTATTTTTTAAAAACTTCCTATAAGGGCAGCCGTGCTGGCTGGGTCAGAGTTCTGCTCTGGGAAGGGCTGGGTAGAAATGCCATCTCCTTCCCACAGCATCCCTGTTTGGGATTTCCCCTGGCATGTGCCCTTGCTGGTGGGAGTAGGCAAACCCCAACCTGACCTTTTCCACTTGGGTTGGTTTGACAATCCAAAGGGTCACAGGGATGATGGGAAGGGATTAGGGCTTCCTGTTTCCTTCCCATCACCACAGGGTGTCTCTCATTCCCTACCACCAGTGGCCGAGTTTCTGCAGGGGAAGGGCTTCTGGAGGAGCTGCCTGCAGAAAGGCTTGTGAGCCCGGTCCTTGTTTCCTCATCCCAGTTTTGTCAGAGTTTCCTAGTCTTGACCTCTGCATCCCTAGGGAATGGAGATGCAGTGAATCCACACTCCTCTTGTCTTTTCTCTGTCACTTATTTTAGCCATGTAGGAAAACAAGTGGGGTGTGGTGAGTTTAAATGTCTGACATCCTGTCTGTCACAGCTGCCTGGGATTAGGATGCTTCTCTAAGAAACCTATATAATCTCTTCACTTTTTGCCTTTGATAGAGAATAAATAACTTTGTACTCACTGAATGTCATACTGATGCTAGTGACAAGTTCGCACACCACCTTGTTAAAAAAGGATACAGATAGCTCATTGTCCAGAATATGCAAACAGAAAATAATGAATGCCAGTCAAATAGAAAAGGACTGTCTTAAAATCAGTGTATGCATTGGAATCATTCTTCAATGTAGCTGTGAATATAGAACATATTATCATCAAATGCAGCAGATTGGGATGTAGTAATTCAGTGCAGTACTGTAGGCTCTCACAAACCCCATAGGATGTATGAGTAAAGCACAAGAAAATCTAGATTATAAATTTACTGTAAGGAACTAGGTGGAGAAGTTAAAGATTCTGAAAAGCACTTGCAAACTGCTCAGGAAAACAATTACAAAAATTATTCTAAGATTTCTGCCTATTTAGTTGTATAGTGCCATGTGAATTTATTAACAGAGAAGCAATGCCCTGGGTGACTGTTGTGTGCCAGACTGTGGAAATCCAAGGTCTTAAATGTATCTGAGTCTGGGTTTCTTGAAGAGAAGTGCATATACAAAACACGCTGTGAATTGGAAACTCTTGGGATCATTGCACCAGGGGCTTTCTTTCCTCACCAGCTCTTCTTGCTTTTTCTAGTGGAAATGAGCTGGAGCAGAGAATAAAATAACATTGCAACCATCTTACTTGTTCCTGTGAAATAAATCTGAAATAGGTTGTTTGTATAGGGCAGGTGAGTGGCAAACCAGCTTCATAGACAAGTAATGGGATGGAAGATCCAGCCTGGGGTTGTTCTCACATGGTTAGTCTGATTGGCAAAGGACTCTGTTGGAACAAGGTCAACATCTAGTTTATGCTTTAACAGCTACTTTTATACATTTAATTCAGGGTGATTTGTGTCTGATCACAGGAGTCTTTTGGAACATGGTAGAATATTTAACTACTTGATACTCTAATTAACACTTAGCACAGTGTAGTGCCTGTAATAATTTTTTCCAATGCTTATTAGTTTGATTCATACAGCACTCCTGTGAGGTTGGTTTGTCATGTCTTAAAAACGGTGTTTTCTAAAGACATGTTGGTATTACCATAACTGTATTAATAATACCCAGCAGATAATAAAGGAAGCCTTTGATTTCCTCACAAGAATAATTTTAAAATTAATTATTTTAAAATGCAGAAAACATTGTTGCCATTTTCTCATTCATGGTGTCTTGGTTTATCTGTAAATGAAAAGACTCACTAGTGCTAGTTCTCAAATCTCTTGAACTACATCCATGATATCTTTTTGTCCTTTATTTGTATCTAAAACCCTGATACATGAGTATTCAGAAACACAGAGTTGCTTCTATGCACAAGTGCTAGTCACACATGTGTGCATGCACACATGCAGTATTTGTACATATTTCAGTTATGTTTTTTAATGTGGAAGGGTGATGTGGTGGCTAAGAAACAGAAGATGACTGTCAGATACCTGGATTCTGTGCCCAGGCTTTGAGCAAATTACTTCCCTTGTATGTGTTCTGGTTTCCCCACCTGTAAAATGGGGCTGATAGTAATTATCTACCTCACAGGGGTATTGTGAGGCTAAATTAATTACTGTTTATTCAGGATCATCAGAGCAAAAGAATTTTGTGAGCATAAATTATTAATGGTTTAACTTTCTTTGTTTCACTTGTAATTATCATTGTTCCTAAAAGTTCTCTACTGAAACCAGCTGCCATTATGTATAAATGTAAAAAACACATAATTCAACAAAAAAGGTGCATCACTGGTAAAAAAGAAAAAAAAAAAAATTTTATTTAAACACTGCTATTGGAACATTGTTATGTTCCAACATTGGCTGTGAATTTGCTGCTGCACACTAGTATTGTGAACTCACTTCTCTGCATTGTTATTTGATCAAAAATCTTATAAAAATGGGTACAGTGATATTTATCAGCACTGATATTGAACTATACTGAATCTATAAAAACTGGCAGAGTACTGGCCTCGTTGGCCTCTTTTGGCCTTCTTAAAATCTGATGTATTTGCAATTTCAATAATACTCTGTACTTTTCAGAGTGCTCCAAGCAGTATGATCTGAAGCATTCTAACAAAGCCATCAAGATTTACAGCTGTTATCTTTGCTTTCTCTTTTGGCATTAAATGTTTTATATGGCTTTGGAACAGCCTGTCCATATAAAATACTCAGAAATGCTCAGAGGACATTTAGGGGAAATGCACACAGTGTTAATTAATTTTTCAATAATATAAGCAATATAAACCAGTGTATATTTTTATACTCTGTTGAAAAGGGTGGTGGAAATGGCTGTGAAGAAATAGAAGGCCTGAGGCAAAATGTTGTTGTTATCCACAATTCACATCCAATTTCTTGGAACTCTTTTATGATATTCTCATTGAATTAAATTCTTCTTCATGTATTTTCTTCTTCCAATGACTGGTGTAATGAGGAGAAAGCTGTTTATTCATATAAAGTAGATGATTTGTTAAGTAAGTGTCTTGTAGACAAAGACAAATCAGTGCTTTGCCATTAGCTGTTTCTAGTGGAAAGCAGGTTTCATCTGACATGATTATCATGGTTAGCTGTGTTTTCAGTCCAATGAGACCTCTTAGTGGGAAGACTCCACTACTGTATGCTGTCACTTTAATAGAGGTCAATAGAATGGAACTGCAGTAATTTCCACCCTCTTTACACAGATACATGCTCAAAGAAATGTGTGGGATAAAGAAAATCTTTACAAGAAATTAAATACATTACTTGGTTGCAGTAGCTTTTTGATGATGAACCAGAGGTTCTGATTAGTTTTGAATTTCTAGTGTTATTTCAAGTCAATGTTTCTAAGTAGATAGAATCGATGACAGTTTCAGTCATAGATTTTTCCTATGTTTCCTATTAAAAAAGTTTTGTAATTTTTACATTAATGATACTTCAGGGGAAAAGAGAGACTTAACATTTTATTTCATTGCACAGTCCCTGCCAGTTGGAGTTATTGTAGTCGTTTTATTGTATATTGATTGATACCACTATATTGTTTCCATATTCATTTTTATTTCAGCATTTTAGATGAAAGTAAGTGCCCATTTCTCTCAAAATATTGGATTTTCACCAGGACAAAATTTATAAGCATTTACCCTTACAAATCTTGATTTTTGAGATGCCAAATTTTGTTTTGTCTTTTAAGTCCATCCAAAAAGTTGCTTCCTGGCTCATTGTCTCTGTTTTAGTCCCAGTTGTACATTGCTTCTACAACTTTCTTCAAAAGACTGGCACATAGCCAGGACTAGTCTGAGAAAAACTAAAACTTTCATTAGAATGGCATTTAATTGACTATAAGTAAGGTCTGCTCAGATAATTATCTTAATGTTAAGTTTGTATTTTCGTGTTCTGTATTTCCTTTCAGCATCTTAGCATTTGCCCTCTCTGTGCCATTTAAACGCATTTTTATTCTAGTAATGTTTTTGACTTATTTTTAGACTATAATCATCAAAGTGACAAATAACTCAGACCCCCAGTTAGCTTTTGCAATTAATAGCCTAACCCTGCAGTCTTTGAGAAATGTCAAACTGTGTCCTCTCAAATTTGTAACCTTCTGTCCCAAGCCAGCCCTTCTCCCCAGCTGATCACCTCAGCAGCACTGCCTCCAGCTGCCTGTGCCTGCTTGGACTGGAGGGGGTGCAGAAGGGTTCATCCATGCTGAGACAGCCTAGAACAGCCCATTTCCCAAATCTGGATGGGAATGTCATGCAGGAAAAAGTTCTTATTTGTTCCTTCTTTTCAAGTGTGTTGCATAAGCAGAGCGGGTGCATGTTACTGGGGAAAGAGCCTGTGATGGTACTTCAGGCTGCTCTGGAGGGTAAAGAATGCATCCTCTTGGAATATTTTTCCATTGAAATTTATATGTACAGCAAGTTAGTTTCATGATTTTTAATATGAGATCTCATTTCTGTAAGTCTTCAGTCCCAGCTTTTTTCTTCCTGTTAAATGGAGTAGCAAATTACTTAAACTATGAATTGTGGAGCCATATATGTCTTCCATTCTTTTCATCCCTTGTTTTTCACATGTGAAGCTTGTCAGCATTACTGTTTCCAGCTAGTTTATATGCTGGTAGCTGAGATGATCTTCTGTAAGACAGTATCTAACATAAGCATTACTGGAAGGCTTAGAAATATGTACTCTGAAATATAACAACATAGCTGTGTGAAAAAATCCTCATCAAAGAGCTGTTATGATTTGCATTAAATACTTTTTAGTAGTATCTCTAAAAATACATACTCTTAATTGCCAACTCTTTGCCTCTCACTCCTTCCAGATTGATTTTCTTTCAGAAGAACATTTACTAGCCCTGACAGAGAGTTCATTCTTTCCCTTACACAAGTAATTTTGCTTAATATTTTTTTCTTTGCAACACTTGCATTTCACACAAACTTTGTCTTGTCTGTTTTGATCAGCCTTGATTTCTGTTTCTGTAGAATTTGCATCTTTACACTGATTGCTTGCAATACAATGGACATAAAGCCCTGTTAAGCAGCAATAATACAAGCAGCAGTACCTGGCACTGCTTAAATAATATGCCTTTTTTGCACGTATTTTTAATGGTATAATGAGTATATTAATCACCAGGAAGGCCAGGCATTCCAAATAACTTTCTTAACATGTCGTTTAATATTTCTGTTATTTGTTGCTAATTTTAGGCAGCTTTTGATACTTATATTTAGTTCTTACTGACAGTGTCTGCTCTTGCAGATCAAAGCAAATGAATTGGCTAACTCGCTTTTTAGAAAAAGTATTAATTCACACTGCTTATTGATTAAAAGGGTTTAAAAATGAAATCTTTCTGAAATGGTGAAAGAGATACTTTTAATGAGGACAGCTCATACAGGAAAACAGAAGGCTTATATCCATGTGGCTTTTGAGATATTCTTGTTAGGAATTTTGAATAGAAAGGACTGTGCAGACATCAGTAACAGGCACGTAGACAGTTAGCAAATGGTAGAACTAGTCCAAAGGAGAATATTGTCATACACCACCTCTGTGTTTCAGGTTCACATTAGGGCCTTTAAATAGTTAAAATTACAGAATATCTTCACAAACAAACTGCCCAGCAAATTGCCAAATTCATTGGCCCCATTTGCGTGTGAATACACTGCACTCTTTGGGGTTAATCTTCTGAGATGCTGGAGTAGCAAAGTAACTGTTCATGAAGCCACCTGCATTGTTTAGTGCTTCCAAATCTTTGCCAAGTAGCTTCTGAAACTAGAAAAAAGAAAAAAAAGGCAAATTTTCACTCTTTTCTGTTTCTCCTCCTTTCCCCCCACCCCTGTTTTGTAGTCCTTTTGTTCTCTTTCATTATTGCTGCTGTTTGTGGCTCTGCCTTGCTGGCTCCTCCAGATGACAGCTGTCTACAGTCTGCTTTTTCTTCCTTGCTTTTTGTTCTGCTTTATGTTACTGTCTGCGTTTCTATTTGGATATGCACCCTACTGTGTCCCAACTGATAACAAGAAGAATCACAATCTTCCCCATCCCTGCCTCTCCTCTAAGCTCTGCTCTATTATCTGAGTCGATGAGGTTTCCTGTGCTTTGTGTCACTGCACTCCATCCTTCCTGTTTCTTTCCCCACTTTAGTATCTTTTAATCCTTTGAGTTTTAATTTTGGCTCTTATTTTTGCTAAACCTTTCTGGAATTCTTTTACTTTCAAGAACTTCTCTCAGATGTTCATCTCAGAGGGCACATGCTTCTAGTTTGAGATGTGGATGAGTATTTACTCCCTGAAAGAATAATAACCAGCATTTCCTCTCTCACCAGTGTATATATTGATTTTGCCATTGGTCTGTAGTAAAATTTTGTATTTAATTGGCAAAGATGGTTATCGATTATCTCCCAGATATCTTCCTCTGCATCCTTTGGGGTTACAGGCTGAGGCATGGTGTTCCCATGAGTTTCCTGGAGCACAGCAAGGGCTGGCTTGCTTTGCCAGCCTCGCAGTCTGGCAGGTACAGAATTGCAGCAGGGGTAGAGACAAATTGCCAGACCACTGAGCTGCATTTGTGTTTCAGTATGGGAAATGCTGAGACCCAAGCTGAGACACAGCCTTTTAGAGAAATTGTTACAACCCAAAGCTGAAGAATAGGTGAAGTAAAGAGAATTCTTTGTTAGTAGAGGGTCGGGAGCAATTTGACTTGACAGGTTTATGAAATGGGTCTATATGAAACCTTTCCTAGAGGGTGGGGAAAATGGCTTGGACTCAAGTTCCATAAAATACAAATTTAAGCAAAATCACCAGATATAGAATGGGTCTGTATGAAATCTTTCCTAGAGGGTGAGGAAAATGGCTTGGACTCAAGTTCCATAAAATACAAATTTAAGCAAAATCACCAGATATATTTGGCAGAATCATCATGCTGGAGGAGCTTGGAGAATGTAATTGGAGTAAGATCACTGAAAAGCCCAGCGGCATCTTGGAAGGGTACAGCCTGTCTTAGGGAGTGTAAGTGAGAGAGACGTGGGAGGGAGGGGAGCACAGGATTAAACAGGACAAGGAAAAGCAGGGAGAAAGTCAGTGTTACCAGTGTGTTTGGTTTTACTACGTTGTTGATTTTGTTTTGGTTAAGTCTTGAAGCTTACTTTGATTTGTAATGGCAACTATTTTATTTTGTTGGTTGCATGCAGAGACTTTAAACCATGAGTCTAAATTAAATCAGCAAGAGGAACATGCAAAATTATCACCATCACTGCCTATAATTTAAGACAGATCTGACTTGCAGCAACATCCCACCTGAGGTGCATGGAAAAGATGTTGCTTTCAGAATCGAGATGCCTGTATGTGTGCTCCAGATGATTTGGGGTCATTTGCTAATGGTGTTCCTCCCTGGCACAGCACCAAGCTAGGAGACAAGGGAAAAGAATTATTTTATAGAGTCTGTCTCTTGCATTTATACTGTTGAAATGTAATTTGCTAGAATGCCTGTATGAGCTGTAATTTTATAATGTTTAAAGAAGATGAATGGAGCTGGTGTAGTATTCCTGAGGGTAAACACCAGTGACTGGAGTTTACTGAACATGTGACTAGAAATTTTAATTTTGGGAACAGAGAGTTCCTCCATTTCATATACACACCAGGCCTTTGAGTACAGATCCTTTTTTTCATTTGTCACCGACAGGCTGTGATTTATTTCCTCATGGGTGTAAAGTCATGGGTTGTGCTTGCTGCAGCACAGAAGGCTCTGGAGGGAAAACATAATCAAATGGAGAGTATACTTGAATCCTCCTCTCTTGATCCCAGTCTTCTCTGAGTTATTTTTCTCTGATTGTCATTCTGTCAATAAAATGGGTTGATGTTAAAAGATGATTAACTATTTTTCATCCTCTTCTGTGTGGCTGAGGCAAAATAAATACAAAAAGTTTGCAGAGGAATAGCAGATTGGAAGAGGGTGGGGAACTGGCAGAGTGCTTTGGGAAGCTTCCACTTTTTTTGTTTTACTTACCATTTATTTTTACAAATATGTACAGCACCTGTGATTTACCTTCATATTAAACTTTGATAGGTTTCTTTGTAGAATGTCGTTTTAAAGAATACCACCCTAGTACATTGCAAAGTGTGGGTTTAGGAGGCATCAGGTATTGCCCTTCCTCACCTAAATGAAGTTAATTTGGTGTATTAACTTGTATTTATGAAGCAGCACTAGGAATATTGCTTCATCCTAGATTATAAGCATATTTGGAGAGGTGAGAGTTGGAATGGGAGAATTTTCCTTTTTAAGAGCAAAGGATGAAAGCCAGCTTATTTATAGTGCATCTGTGGCTGTTCCAGCACAGGTGTGTGCAGTCTCTTAATCCAGCTACGGACTGATAAATATAGATTTTTCTGGCATTACCCATGAAAACAAAAGGGGGAGAATGGTAATTAAACCAAGCCTAAATAATATTTTGTGGCTAATTAGTGCTGCAGCTCTTGGTAAGTATATGAGAGCCTATAAAATAAAAAATAGACATATGTCTTGTGAAGATTCACAAAGCATGTCTCGCTACCCTGTTGTTAATGTGGAACATCATTTATTTGGCATTGCAGGGCCAAATTCCACCCTAATTTATGGCCATGCAGTTCCACAGACATTATCAGTTGAGCTTTGTGTTACAGAAGAATTTAATCCATGTTGAATTTGGAAAACAATTGCAGGTTAAAATCAGTCTTCTCAAAGCACCTGTTACTCACAAGTTACTCACTGATTTTCACCATAATTTTTATTCCTAGCATGAGAGTTCTTTGGATAGATGTAAGCAAATTACAACCAAGGTAGAACTGAATTTTTAATTGCTTATGACTGCTTGGTCAGCAAATGCTTAATTTTTGACCAGGGGTTTATTCCACTCCATGTAAAGGTTCTTAGAAGTCATCAGTATGCTATAACCCCTACCTTTAACATACATGGCTACACAGCCCTCTCCTTCTGCCTTTGCACATTCTAGTATTTGTGAAAACAGAACATGCCTTCTCCTAATTTTGTTTCAGGTGACCTTGACTTTAAGCAGGTTTCTTTGTATACAGTAACAGGGCTCAAGTGAAGAATGAAATAAATCCATAACTGGTGCATTGTCAAAAATGGGGAAAAGTGTTATTTGTATATTTTTGTAAATATGTAACATTTAATGGCAGTTTTGTAGTGACGTGCTGTTTTTGAGAAAAGGAAACAAATATATGTTTGAATATGCTTGACGTAACACTTAACTGTGATTCAATTGCACAAGTAATAGCTTAATCAAAAAGTCTTGTGCAATATGTAGTGCACACACATAACCAAGTATCTGTTAGCGATCCACAAGCAAAATTTTGGCAACTTTTAACAATGGTGATGAACTGTGCAGTACAGATTATCACAGTCTCTTTCAGCTTCCAAACATGTAGCAGGCAAACTACTGTATACGTACCTGTGTACTCCACTGCATCCAAAGGTATGCATTTGTCCTGAGAACCTGCACTCCAGGTTTTTCTTTAATAAAATTTGGTTCTAAACTGTTGATTGCTTTGCTTTCTTTCGAATCTTCTCATGGGGTTTGTGGAGGGGAAACTGTTTAACCAGTCCCCAAGGTTTGTGTGTCTGTATTTAGCAGCAAACGACTCAACTCTGCAACACTGAGCTCAAAGGCTGCAGCAAACCTTCATTCTCCTCCTCTTTAGCCACTCCACTTCATCCTCCTACACTGCTCGACTCCATTCCTAGGGAAAGAGGGGACAGTCCTTTTCCCTGTTCCCTGGAGGTGTTGCAGTGGAGCTGGTGGAGGGTGACATCCTGTGGTGAGACAGAAGCCGTGCAGCTGCTGGTCTGTAAATCACTGAGCAGAGGAGTATTTCTCTCTTGCTAAAGAATTCTGTAGTCTCAGCCGTGATCTCCCTATGATAGAGCGCCATCAACAGAACAAAGATATGTGTGTTCTGCCCTTCCCATGCCTTTATTCCAATCTCCTGTTTTCCTTTTATTAATTCCCCTTCCTTTATCCCACTCTTTTCCTAAGAAGTTGCCTGTCCTGTAGAAGCTGCATTCTCTTTGCAAAATTGAGGAGTCTGAAAGTCAAACTTAGTCCTTAAGCTGGATGTAGCTGCGTGCAAGGATCAGACCTTGACTCAAAATAAAACTAAGCTAGAAACTATATTCAGTCACATACAAAGCCAGCAAAACCAAAATAATCAGAATTATGCCCATTGGACATGCCCAGCTACTACATATGATATTTTTTTCACTCTGCCTACAGTCTTTGGAAATGAAATGCAAAATTGTAGCATATTTTTATAAAGTCTTGGCCTTAATGTCCTAAAAATTTTCTCCTACTGGTCCTGGCAAGTGCTCTCTGTCTTTGCAAAGGTCACTGAATTGCTAAAGTCAGAAAATGCCTTGCATCCCTACAGACTGGCCATTCCTTCCTGCTTCAAAGTTTAGAGATGAGCTGCTTTTGGTGTAGCTCATATTTTCAGGCTGGAATGAATAGTTTATGGTTTGCTGAGAGGTGGTTGCTGCTGTGTAGCTTGGTGCCTTCCCAAGGAAAGTCTGACACTGGTAGAATAAACACTTGATGGTTCTTTTCACTGCCTGTTGTTCACAACAGGGAAAAACAGAGGTGGTCCTAATTGTTGTGGATGTGCAATGTGAAGTCTTATTAAACCTCATACTGGGCTAAAGCAGCAACATGAATTATTATCTACTGCTTTTTTAATTAGCCTTACAAATTTCATAGACTGCAATGAAGTTTTAATAGGAACACAAATA